TGCAAGTATTATTATTCATTGTAGAAACTTGGAAACATTTGTTGCAGAAAATACTGTTTAAGCTCAGACATGGTAATGACTGTAACAATAGAAATCTGTAAAATTCTAAAGACAAACTTTGTTTATTATTAATAACTCTGTCTGTTGCCATAACAACAATTTCAAATAATTAGAATAAGGGTTCCGTTATCAGTTTTATTAAAGTAACTATGCTATTGCTTTAAAAATGAATGAAATAAACCATTGAAAATCAATTGTTGACAAATGGTTGGAAAATCCAGAAAAACCAAAACCAAGACATTTCATAACAAAAAGAGCTACAAATTTTCCAAAGTATGGTGGATGAAGTGTTAAATCTGTATTGCAACACATTATTCATTCTTTGAAAGCCAGGTTCTGGTGGAAAATATGGTGCTCACAGCTCCCAACTTGATCAGAAGATAATTAAAATTATTTCCAAAAATTAGTCAGATGTTCAAATCAAAGACCTGAACATCTAACCCTCTCCTTGTGAGATGGAATAACTTCATTATATTCTTTTTGCTGTTATTTCCACTGATTAGTCACTGGATTCAACATATTTCATATCAGTTATCTATATTCTCTATTCATGTCCTGAATGCATATATGATGAGGTTACCTTAGTATGCTCTTGGGGATAACATTCTCTCTCTCTCAGGAACATAAATGAAGACTTTCCAACTTATAGTCCATAGATGGCATAGACTTCATTTTTTTCTGAACTAGTTTCAAATGTTACTTCTCTATTATTGCTATTGGTAACACTGTTTCTAATATATGTATTTGTATATGTCAGTTCTGCCTAGACTGTACTGTAAACAAGGTTTAATAATTTGCAGTTCATTCTCTGCTATCCCATTTTTCTCTAGAAAATAGATCAATGTTTGTCCATGTACAACAACATGTCTTTTGCAAAAGGTTTCCTAGACTGAAACAAAATTGTAAGTTGTTATTTGTATGTGTCCTCTTTAGGGTTATCTGAGTTTATTTCTCATCATTGTCTTCCATTTTTTAAAATGAATCAAGACATATTCCTTGTTTTTCAGAAAGACTGTGTACTGTTCATACTTCATGTCTTTATTAATGATGCTGAGGGTGTATCTGTATTTGGATATACATAGTTTTGGACATCAAACAGACCCAACAAATCACCGTGCACTAATTTAAGTGGTTTTAGTCATCTTTTTGATTTTTCATTTGAGAAAGGTTGACATATTGATTTCTCTTTAATACATGGTTCATACTTCTCTAACTCTGAAATTGGCATTCAAGATCTCTTATATTCTGGGTCTTGACCACCTTTAAGATTTCTTATGTATTCTTATGCTTTAACAGATGTCAAAAATCTAGGGGAATCTTCTTGCTTTTGCATTCAGTAATGAGCACATCAAAATCTTTAGGCTGACTCTAATAAAATGGAGTTGTCTTGATGAGGAATAGTCTGTCAACTTTCCTACTTTCAATTAGTCTCATCAACAGTATAACAATCTTTGTCAGCAAACAGGACTTTTCTGTTCTCAGTAATTTGGATTACTGATAATATAAGGATTGTAATGATAGAAATCTGTAAATTTCAAAAGGTAATAACTTTTATTTGTAATGTAATCTGAAAGATTGTACTTTTATTTAAGTTTGTTTTTAAAATACATTTAAGACTTAATTATAACATTTAAGTTTTGATTTATTCCTTTTGATGTTTCTTTCAAATGCACTTAATAAGATTTTTGACAGTATTTCCTTCAATCATTCTGACTGCTTTTTTCTAGTTCAGAGGAAAATCTTTAATGTCTTTTCCTATTCTGTTTTTTTTTAGTTTATTTTTTTTACAAGAGACTAAAATCTTTCTATTGGTCAGCACTGTGGTAAGTTTTGTGGATTCATGTCTCTAGGTACAAAACTGACTTTGTGCTGTTCCAGCCAACTTACTATGGATAATAATACACTATGCAAAAAGTAAGTTGGCTTGAATAGCTAACTTACTTTTTGCATAGTTTATTGTTGCCAAATCTGGCCAAAACAAAGTATGGCCATCACAATTTCTTAAAAAAGGAAGACAACTTTTTAAAACATTCATTACTATAACTTTCAGCACTAATATTTCCTTTTATCACAAACAACAAACTTTTCAATCCATGCTGGAAAACTGCTTGCCATACTGGACATTTTAAGCCAAACTTTTCAACACTGATTAATGTTTGATATTCTGGAAGTACTACTCCTTCAAACTGTATAATAACATGGGTCAGGAAGTATTGAGAAGTCAGCCCTTACATGTATTTTGTGTCTAAAACCAAACAAGCATTTGTCTTGCCAATTAAAGAATATAATTTTGAGCTGTTTTTAATTACCTACTTTTGTTTTTCAGTCACTTTAAGTATTTGTTTTTTTTTATATGATCTCATACTTGTATGCTCCTTAGCCATTTGAATCAGCATTTGATTAGTTTCACATTATTTTGCAAAACATCTCTCACTGACTTACTAAGAGAGCATGTAACACCTAACAGCACTTAGGAAAGCAAGTTCAGAATGGATGGAAGATTCTACATAAGAATATAAAATTCAAATCTCCCAAAAAAAGAAAAAAAGGAGGATCCACAAAGCATCCAATGTCAATATGACATCCAATGATACTAAAGAGTTAAAGAAGTGAGGATAGTAAGGAATAATGTACAGGTACCCCAGTATAACATGGAGTTACATTCCAAAAAATTGCCATGTTATACGAAACAAAGAACTAGTGCAAAAAGGGGAGTTAGGTTCCAAAAATTAAAAAACATGCTTTCAAATCCTTCTTTAAATCAGATTTATTATTCATTTTTTTAATGGGTAAAATACTTATTTATTATTTAAGTAAATATTTTACCAGAGGATTATTCATTCTATATGATGATCTCAGCATGAGCATCATCAACTGGTAACAGTTTTTGGGTGAGTTCATTAATAGCAGTCGCTTTGTGTGTCCACTACAACGGGAGTGTGCTGCTGTTTGTAGGCACTTAGGAACAGCAGTGAAAGAAAGAAAGATGGCGGCGCCCGCACTATCGATAGTATTGTGATGGAGGAATCTATAATTCTAAAATATGAGCTTTTAGAGATAAAAGAAGGGTCCCAATTGTAAAATTTAACCATTAAATGGATTATTTCTTGAAAGAGCATTCAAAGTAGACACGAAAAAATTAGAATGCTTGCGTGGATGTATAAAAGAACATACCCTTTATTACATTTCATGTTGTACAAGGATTTTACCTAATTCCCGAACCATGTTAGAGTGAACTCGTGCTATAAAAGGACCGTGTTATACGGGGTTACCTGTATGTTGGTGCACAACAGACTTAGTGAATTATTAGTATCAAATGTGCTTCAAATGGAAAAAATCTGTTGGCTGATCTGACCAAAGCCATCAACTGGATTTTGAATGAAGCTCACTATTTTGTCATTAATCTTACAGAGTGATTATTGAAGTTACTCAGTGCAGTGATCCCCATTGACTGTTGAAAAAGACAATGTCTGATTATGTTGTTACTAATAGTTACTCCTCCTCTTTTTGATTGTTGCAAGTTTCTTTTGCTGGTGTTTTATCATACAGGCACTCCTCACTTAACAATTGAGTTCTGTTCATATGACTAAATCATTAAGTGAATTGGTTGATAAATGAGAAGCTTAATTGTTTTATTTATTCTTGATAATGAAATGATTCAAAGGAAACTCAAACTTTGATAACTTTGCTTTAGTTTGCACCTGTTACATATTACAAAACATAAAAATATAATCAGCAAAATTATTAAAATGTTGAACCAAAAACATTAAAGTTAATTCATTAAAAAAAATCATTCAGATTAATAGTTTAGTCTTCAAATTCTTCAAAGGGTGATAACAGTTTCAGGTCATTAGTGTCGTCATTGGCGTTATCAGCAGCTTAGTTTAAAAAATGCTTTTTGTCCATATAATAATTGTTTAAATAAATTAACTTGTACTGTTTAAAATTGGACTTATTAACTAAAGTTGACTGCCAGTTTAATAAGTTTACAGATCAATTCTTCAATCAATTACTTTATATTTTACAATGAATACTTGCATATATAACTCAAGTAATTGGCTGAAAATTGATCTGTTGACTCGTTAACTGAAGTTGACTGCTGCTTTAATAAGTCCACATTTTAAACCTTACTAGAGTTCATTCTTTTAAACAATTATCAGGAGCTGTAGAGGACCTGGGTAAGGAAGATGACTGTGAAGAAATGGAAGTGCTTGTAGAGATAGAAGTCTTGGGTATATTCTTATAAGAATCTTGTTAGTGTGATACACTGTAAATTTCTTGTTTCTTCATAATTTTTATAACAGCATCATAAAAGTTCATTCATTTGCTGTTCCATTTTTGTGAACTCTTCAACATTCAGATTCATACCCTCTTGTTCTAATATAGCTGTATTCAATTTTGAGAACATAACAGCTAACCCTTGTACAGTACAGTGAATTCCTTTTATGCTTTCTCCTTCTTCCTCTTCTAAGCACTGCTATGCTTTCAACTCTGTTGCCCATCCTTTGATTCTTGGCATTTTCTCCAGGTGAAGTCATGCTCTTTCTTTTCACTGACATCTTGTAATATGGGATGTACTGTACAATAAAGTACACATTTATAAACAAAATATGTAGTTTTAGAGATTGCAAATGCTTTGTGTAGTAAATACTGACTGACTGTGGGAACAAGATTAAGACTACAAAATGGGATTTCCAAGACTCAGACTGAGAAAGAAGAATCTGCCTGGTGGACAGCTGGTCATAAGTCCAAGCAGTCATTAAGTGAGGAGTGGCTATATACATTTTTTGTTTGTTCATTTATGTTAAGTTTATCTTATTTTCAAAACCAGGGTGATAGAAGATATTCCTTTAAATGGTTGTTGACTAAAAGAAATTAAACAATGAATTTTGTTAACAATAATTTTTTTGTTTTCTAATTAAAAATTTTTGTATTTTTAGCCTGTATGTAGACCTGAACATATCCATGAATATCAGCTAACAGCATATTCTCTTTATGCTGCAGTTTCTGTTGGTTTACAAACAAATGATATTATAGAGTACTTGGGAAGACTTAGTAAAACAAGTATTCCAGAAGGTGTTGTTGAATTTATTAAGGTAAGATAAGTAATTTCTTATAAGAGTTTTAACAAAATTTACAAGCAGTCATGCTTATAAAATTTTTTATACATAATGATATACAAATAATATACAAAAAATACAGAATACAGATATGATAAAGCTGATGTGCTTACAATAAAATGACATTTCTAATATGAATCCACTGACTTTATTAAGGATTTTTGAGATAGAAAATTTTTAAAATTTTGGCAAATATTATTATTGTTGTACTGAATAAAATCTGCTCATATATATATAGTAGAGTATAATTTGAGATAATATAGAAAGTTTTTAATTTTTTTTATGAACTGTGATAAATTTTATTACAGTAATACCTCGACTTATGCTATCCCGACTTACGCAAACCCGGAGTTACATGATTTTCAAATCTCGTTGATTTGTCTTTTGTTTGAGTGCCACGCAACTCTTGATTACACTCTCCCCTACACTATTGTTCAGCTTACATGTTCGGACGTGTCACATGGAATCGACATGTAGCTACAATTTATTTTGTGTTATTTATTTCTGTTTGTTATATCTATGAAGACTTGAGAGACTGTATGTGGTGATTTCTTGTAACCGTGAACGAATCAAAAGATGAGATAAGATTAACGAGAACATTTATTAGCTTATGTACATCCGACTTGGATTTTACACAAATTGCGAACTGGGGTACGTTCGTAAAGTCAAACGAGTTAAACGCGTTAGTAACGAATCGTTCGAATAGTAGTAGTCTCGCTCAGTGCGCACGCTCTGCGATGATGACTTTTTGAACGAAACTCTAACGAAGTTCACGAAGGAAAGAGTTAGTTTACTTCATTAAGAAAATGGCGCCCGGCGATATCGATGTTTCTAAATCTACTCGAGTGTTTAAATTGTGAATTAAAAGATGAAATGATTGAAGTAACTGTCCACCCGAAGCAATCTAAGAAAAATATTTCGGATAAGGCTATACTAGCAACATTCCTTTGTGAGTTTTGTTTTTTTAAATATGTGACATATTTATTGTATTATTTTACCATATCATTAGTATTACTATTATTATTCACAAACTAAATGCTCAATTTTCAGAGGCCATTTTTCAGAGATGCTTCAGAAGTAGGTCCTTTTATTTGGACAAGGAACTATTTGCGTTTAGGGCTACATGCTCACCAAGCTTCATTTGAATCAGAGAAGCAAATGTCTTGGTCCTTGTAAGCCAAATGATTGCAGTAATGAATCAGGCTATTTTTTCACTACTATTAATAATTAAACTCTAAGTAATTTGGTACTAGAGATAGGTGTTAGATGCCATCTCATTAAATTTAATAATTATAATTAAATTAATATTTATTAAATAATTTAGAATATTCTGGAAGAAAAGAATTGCCCAGGAGCAGGACTTGAACCTGCAACTCCCACTTACTGTGCAGATGTGTTGCCAGTTATCTACCTGGACTTCTGTCCAATCTTTGCTTAGAGACATATTTAATTTTAGATATAACTATCCATAGTTACTCACAGCAGGTTTTATTTTTTAATAAAATCTTGTAACAGAGACACAACTTTAGCTATGTAAAATGAGTGCCAGAAAAGTCATGCAAGAGCTCATTAGCATTTTTTATATTACATCTATATAGAATTTTATTGTATAAAAAATTTCTGAATGTTACAATATTATTTAATGTTTTATTATCAAGGAATTTTTATAAATTAAATTTGTACAACCCCCACAACAGGGATAATCTCTTTTTGCTAATAAAGATGATGATGATAAATATTACATCTATATAATTATAAAACTTTTTAAAATTGAATTGAACATATGTTTTATGTTTGTAAAATTTGAATTTCTAATTTTTTAAAAAATTTAATAAATAAAATAGATGTATTATATATATCAACATCTCGAAACCTGATGTATTGATGCTAAGCCAAACAATCACTGTAATTAATCTGGCTAATATTATGCTATAACTAATACAATTGTCTCTTGATAGTCCGACATTTTGTAATCTAACATGCTCAGTAGTCTGATGCACCTCCTGTCAAGATCACTGTAGTCCTCATCGCCGTTACATGTCTGTTTGCACAGAAGCATGTCACAACATGAATCTCCCCACCCAATTGTTACACAATGACACACATTTCATGTGTTTTCCACGAGCAGTTCTGTTCGAATGTTGGAAAAGAGAATATTGCAGGCTACTGCTAGCAAAACAATGCCAAATATGTAATCACTTTCAGTAATCTGGATACTTTTGGTAATCCGACACCCCTTTGGTCCCATACCTGTTGGATTATCAAGGACAATTGTAATTAGAAACTAAGTAATTTGGTATTAGAAGTAGACTTTAGGTACTATCTCTTATCTAAATTAATAATTATAATGATTTAATAAGAGATGGCATAATGTCTACCTCTAGTACCAAAATACTTAGTCTCTAATTATTAATTATAGTATAATATTAGCCCAATTGATTACAGAAATCATTTAGCTTACATGTATTACAATTTAATATAATGAAAGCACTTGATTAAAGTATTGGTTATGTACTTTCTGGTATTATTAAATTAAAAAAATAATTTAAAGTTGATATTCTAAATATTTTTCTATGATTTTTACAATTAAACTACCATTAATCTAAACTGATTTTTAGATTACATGGAAAAGCAAAGAACAAAATTTGTGTTGAATTTAATTTTGAAGTTTTTAAAGATAGAAATTATATTTTCAAAAATAATCAATATTTTTGGCTACAAATTGTTGTACATATGAAAAATGAATGGAAATTAGTTAAACTTTAAAATAATTTTAGCGAAAGAATGATCAGATAAATTTATTTGGATCTTATTTTATTATTAGACTAAAACTTTAGATTTTTTGTATTCATGTGCTAATGATGTGTGTGAGTTTATAATTGTAATAACTTATTCTGTTGTATATATATAATTTCCTGTGAATAACCCACAATTTGTGTTCAAAGTCAGTTTGAAAGCAGATGTGGATTATCTGTTGATTTTAAATTGTAGTTATGAACTCACCCAACAGCTTTTCCTTTGTATAAACTTACCAAGAGCATTATTTAAAAAATGAAAGATCTTTTATGGATTGTATATACTGTATACATCTCTTGTTAGGAGTTTTTTCAAAAACCACTAGAACTCATCTACTGAAGATCTTGCAAGTGAATCTGCAAAACTTAAATAATATATGAAATGATGCATTAGTTTCAATTATAATTGTGATTAAAATTTTATATATACGATATCTTCAATTTGATGAGGAATAATGTTTTGTTGACATGATAATGATGCTTGATATTGCTTAAACAAATAGAGAACTGTGTTTTTATTAATGAATGCTTATTATTAGTTCTGAAAGAAGTTAATTTAGGATTTTGATTTTTTTTATTTACAATAAATGCTGTTATCATAAGTGACTATAAACTAATAATAATGAAAGTTTTAACATCTTTTTTCAACTAGAAATGAATTCTCTACTGCCAAGTGTGTATTTGTGTTTTTCTCAGAATTTTAGAAATTTTATCTTAATATACTATTTATATTTGATAATTTTCTGAGATTGTACATCACATATTTTCAAAACAATTAAAAATTGACATCGAAATATCATGTCATCTCAATGCAGTTACAGAAATTGTATTTATTTATTTTTTTCAAATGTAATTAATGGTTTTAATTATAATAGAAACCAAGTTTTATATATTATTACAATATGAATTCCATGCATTAAAAATTCACTTTACCAACTAGCCCTTAGACTAGTGGTTCTTAATATTTTCTGCTGCCTTACATTTCTTGAATTTTTAAAAATGCATTCTCATGAAGTTTTTTATTTTTGGGTTAAGGTAATCCCATTTTCTCATCTGTATTTTAGCTTAACTTTAGATACAGGGTCAGAAATTGAAAAAAAAAATTCATCTACGCATATTAATTAATATAAAAAGACTTGGGTTTAGTTTAGGGATTTACATCAGAAAAAATACACAATGATAAATTTGATATCTATGTATTTTTATTTGTTTTTTTCTGACCGACACTGGGCATCATATTATGCATATCGGTGTGTAAGATATTCCTGAATAAAGAGTAATGACAAAGATGCCCAGTGTCTGTCTATGCACCTAGTTGTGACAGAAAAACAAATAAAATACAACATGGTTTCAGAATAAGCAATAAGTATTTTTATTTATAACCAGTGCTGTGGAGTTGTGTAAAAATCTACCGACTCCACCTTTGCCTTACCATTTGACTTTGACCAGGGGTAGACTTATTAATAAAATAGGCCTGGGAATTCTGATATCATGTGACCTTAGAATAAAAGCTTTACATTTTATTTTTACATTTTACCTTTATTAGAACAGAATTCTAATAAAGATAAAATGTAGAAACGTGTTTATTCCAAAGCTAAGACTCCTTTAAATAATGACATAGTCAATATATAAATATGTATTTGATAATTTTTACTTTCTTGTTATATATAACAGAGGGAAAGTGTAGCGATCTGTCAGAAGATGACTCCCCCAAATTTTTATATTTTTGGACCAGAACTCCCTGAAATGTCAAGATATGAAAAATATTCAGGGTTTTTTTTATGTTGTATGGATGTTAGACTCTGTCTGTGGGACACAATTTTGTTCACACTGTTTGAAACTTAATCACTTCTGTGATTTTTTGAGTTGGATGGTTTAACACAGGAGTTAAGTTTCAAAGTGGTTGAACTAAATCATGCCTCCCCACACATTCTAAAATCTGTGCATACAGAAAAAACCTAAATGTTTTTGTACTTCTCTGTTTCAAGGCTTCCCGAGTCCAAAAGAGTAAAAATCTTGAAGTCATTTTTTGACTGATTGTCATTTTTTTCTTTTGTTAAGACATATACTGTGTAACAGCTGGGAAAGTAATGATGACAAGAATTCTGATTACTTTTTTAAAATACAAAATAAAATGATTTATAAAAATTAATTAAACATTAAAATTTGACACACCTTAATATATAAAGTCATATTTATTGACTTGTTTGATGATGGCAATGGTATTTGGTAAGCATGTATAAATAAAAACAGTAAATACGTTTGTATGCGAACAAATTAATTTAATAAAAATGTTGTACATAATATATGAGTATGCACATATATTAAACTAAGTCAAGAATAAGAAATATAACATTTAGACTGGTAAATAAAAAGGTTGTTTATTTTGCCATGTTGATTAATTTATTATTTTCCATCTGTTATAAACTGAATTACTTCTTTAAAAACAAAAATAGAGAGTATTAAGTCAGCATTCATGAAAGTTTTTAAATCAGATTTAATAATTTTAAGAGAAGAAAATAAACGCTCTACTGAAACTTGTGTTGCTATCAATGCAGTATCACCATTTTAACATCCAAATTTGAAGAACAGTCAATGTGATTTACTTTTTCCATTGCATTGTAAAAATTATCATTAAATTTTGTAAGATCTTTCCTGTATGTGTTTATATTAGACAATTTTGAGAGTAGAGACAAGCTTTATTTTAAAAAATGTGAATGCTAATAATGAGTAAAATAGTCATTAAGTTTGACCACACTGCAGATATGACATGACTCCTCGTGTATCTCCACCCTGTCAACCTTTAATTAAGAACCAAAATATATATCATTAATGCCCCCTTTATACACAAGCTACAGTGGCAAATTTCATTTTTTAAACTTTGTCCATTTTGAGATATTAAACAATATCTCAGAACAGAATAAAGAAATTAAACAAATTAGACACCAACACAGACAAATTTTCCCTGTTAATTGACACTTTTTGGATTCAGGTCTCCAAACATGTAGATTTGCAAAAAAAAAAACAAAAAAACTCAATGACTGACCCCACAGCCCTGTTTATAACTTTGGGGTCTTTTTTTTAAAAAAAAATAAAAAAAATAATAATAATGATAATTTTCAAGAAAAAGCTGGGAAAAAAGTTATAAAAGTTCATTTAAAAAACATTTGTTTTCAGAACAGGTATTTTGCAGAAATTTCATACCAAAAAGGTATATTTCCCCCAGGTTAAGAACTATACCCCAGGTTTTAGACTATTAAAATATACATCATAATATTTAATGATTTTTCCATCAATTGGAATAAATTAGTGCATATTAATTAAAATTTTCTTGTTCAGAAGAAATTAGGGCTATGGTGAAGTCTTCCTTTACTTTAAGGTGCTCATCTACATCATATGCAAAAAATTGTTAAAAAATCTCTGGTTATGGCAGTTATAAAAATTATATTAATTAAAACTTTGTGATGACAGTTGCAATTGAAATACAAATTTAAGAATAATAAATTTTATTTAAAATAACTCAAATTGCAATATTTTTGTTTTACAGTTATGTACTTTGAGCTATGGAAAAGTAAAATTGGTTCTAAAACATAATCGTTATTTTGTAGAGAGCACATTTCCTGTAAGTACATATCAGAAAATATATTAATTTTATAAAAATTTATTTACATATGAAGTTAATTACATAATATTACAAAACTTCATCCAGGATATATTACAAAAACTTTTAAAAGATCATATAATTCAACAATGTCGTCTTAGAAGAGAAACAGATGATTCAGTAGGAATGACAACAGTTCAACAGAAATCAACAAAAACTCCTCAGGTTTATATAAATTTCTATTTACATTATTTTTAATTGCTGGATGCTTTTATAATACATTTTTATTTATGGAGTTAAGTATTAAATTTATAAAATTGTTATTTTAGTTTTCTAAAGAAACTCTCGACAATAATAATGATGAACAAAATAAATCTGTCAATGCAACTTCAAATAATTCAAATACAGTACCAGATGATATTTTTAATTATTATGAGAAAATGGAGAGAGACGAAGAAGAAATTGAAGACTTGCAAACTGTTTCATTTGAAGTAAAACAGGAAACTATTGAAACTATTCAAAAAAGGTATAGTTGGAAGAAAAACATTTGACTTTGACCGTATTTTTGTGGAATTACCTGCATGCTGCATAAAAATGAGAGACCAGCATCATGTTGGAAACCCCATGGTTACTGGCATGATCGGATCTAACAAAACTAGTTGTTAATTAAGCGTTAAAGAAGGCATTCTTCCGAGTACAATAAAATAATAAGATTGTAATTTGACCAACTTAAAACCAGGAAGCAAGTTATCATTTACAAGACAATAAAACAATTAATGACTTACTGTTGTCAGTCAGTCAGTGTGGACTACACTGATCATCTACCCTGGTCTTAAAAATAATACCTTCTTCTCAAATTTCACGCAAAGCTGATGTTAATTGGTGTAAGCTGAGATAATTTTTACAAGTTGCTTAAATTTAATATGTTTATTTTTGCATTTTTGAATCAAATAAAAATAAAATACATATAAAAATAGCACTTTTGGAATTCTAAGAGTATTTTACATTGTTAGAAAGAAGTCAAAATCAAAAATTAAACATATAATCACAGTTTTTGATGTAATGCTGACAGTTTCATGGTTTTAGGATAAAATCTCATTTGTTTTTTAATGCACCCTCTAGATATATATATATATATATATATAGCTTAAACCAGTGTGCTAGCATTCTCCAGGATAAACTGGCATGCTGGTTTTTACCATATGGAAATATATGATTTCATGGTCTCCCAGATAGCCCAGCATGCTGCTCATTTTGCAAAAATACAGTAATATTCAGGAATCATTCTAATTTTAAAATATTATTTTTACATATTAAACATATTTTTCCTTTTTCCAGATGTATTGAATTAGAATATCCACTTTTAGCTGAATATGACTTTAAAAATGACACAGTTAATCCAGATATTAAGTAAGTTTTTTCCTCTCCAATTGTTAATATTTATTATATTAATAATTATTGCTTGATGTTTTATTATAGCATTGATCTTAAACCATCAGCAATTTTAAGACCATATCAAGAAAAAAGCTTGAGAAAAATGTTTGGTAATGGAAGAGCAAGATCTGGTGTAATCGTTTTGCCATGCGGTAAATATATTGACATGCTAATTTTATAAAATTAATTGCAATGTAACATTCACTTACCTATGAGATATAGGTAAGTAAATGTAGAATACAGCAAGTCCTCACTTAACATTTTGTTATAACATCATTGAGGAAAGATACAAGTATGTTTAATCATTTACAATTATCATTGTTTAATCTTCACAAATAGTAAAATTGATTTTATAAGGAGGGAATTAAATGGTGGTATTACAAACATGATTTAATTAGAATAACATTAACCAAACTATCTTGTTTGTCAATTAGCTATGGTAAAATGAATTCATTAATTAAACATCATTTTGCTTAATATCACAGTTTCCAAGAACCTATGTATAACAATTAAGTGAATTTGCTTTAATTTATTTCAGGACATTTAAACTTTAGAATTGAGTTTTTACATTTTAAGTATTAATATTAAATTACTTAAATTTTTTAATAATTTAAGGTGCTGGAAAATCATTGGTTGGTGTTACAGCATGCTGCACTGTACGTAAAAGATGTTTAGTTCTTTGTAATTCTGGAGTGTCTGTTGAACAATGGAAATCACAGGTATGACATTGAATTCTTTTATAAAGAAAAAACTTACCTTTATCATAATGTGTAGAAAAAAACTCTTCAAAAATACATATTTTAATAGAATTGAGTATTTTTATAAAAGAAAATTAAGAAGTTTTTATAATACTAAATGATAGTTACTTTTAGAAACATTTAAAAGACACTTTTAATGATTATTTAGATATGTAAAATATATTATTTGAATAGAAAAATATTTCAAGCTGAAGTTTTATCATGAAAATTTAAATAATTTATTTTAATCTAAATATTTTTTTTATAAAATTTTAAAGAACTACTTTTTAAAGACAATATATTCAACAATATATTGTTTCATAGCTATACTAAAAATAATAAAATAGCAATAATGATTTGATTCTTTTTAATATAAATAATAATTTTAATTTATATTTATACAAGAAATTTTTCAAATTTGAATTAATTTACTGTTTATATTTTTAAATTATTCATCAATGGCAATTTTCAAACATTTTCTCAAAATTGTTCATACAGAAACTTTTGAAATAAGTATTTTTTCCAACAACCACAATTTGGATCATCTTCATTTTCATCAACCTCATGACAAAAAATAATAAATTTTTATTCAGAAATAGAATAAATAAGACAAATAATAAAGTTGCCTTATATTTACAAGGTGGCTAATAAATATTTTAAACTAGTTTACATATACAGTTGACTCCCCCTATAACACAGGTTCCTATAGTTCGGATTCCTATATCACGGCGAAAAAATTACAACAGTATTCGTATAAACACGCTAAAAAAAACTCGTATAATTTGGTAAAACGTCATCGCCGACTCGTGTCACGACAGGATTGGTTGAACCTAGACCAATAGCAGATATTGTACAAACCGTGGAATTTAAATGAGCAGCAGACCTACTGAAAACCATTTATTATTTAATGTCCATAAAAATTATATTTATATTAATGTCTCCAAAGTTCAGCAAATTTTTTGCAAAAAAAATAATTTATCAGGAAGCATGTGAGCACCATTCGATGACAATCTCCACGACGAAAACAAGCTTAACCAATGGCGTCATCGAACGGTGCACATTCAGTAAGTAATCTTATGATCTTTTGTTTATAGCATAGTTTATATGGATTATTCCCAAAAAAATTATACATATTTTGGAAATGTTGAGTCAAATTAGTCTAGAATCTATTAATTTTATGGAAGAAAACCTTTCAAACAGCCTTAGTCCGTAAACTGCATACGTGCCGGGCTGTGATTGGCTCTTAGAATATCAATTTCATAAAGAACGGAATGTATCTATCATGTTATAGGGGGGTCGACTGTATTTAATATTGACAATCCTGTCATAATATGCATCGATTACAACTGTCTATCCAAGGACAATAAAAAAAACGAAATTGGAGACAATAAAAAGCCTTTATTTAACAATATTCTCTTTTATAAATTTTCAAAATGCATTTTGACTTTCTATCAAATTCAGCCTTCTTCAGTTAAGAAGTTTATAGCAATAGTCTTAGAGAAACAATAAAACCAGAACACAGATTTTTACCATCTATGCATGGTAAAAATGATTGAAACTCTATAATATCTATCTAATCATTTTTATTGCTTTTAATTAAATATATAAATGTAAAATTGCAACGTTTAACAATACTTTCTTTCCATAAATATGACGTACTTGAACCTATAACCGATGTGAATTGAATAATTTTTTCACGACGAATGTTTTCATAACCCCTTCTGGGCTCTTCTTCAGGTGAAACAGCTGGATCGAACACCAAAAACGAAATTTGAAAAAATACGAATTCTGTCGAGTTTGAATTGTTTGGATCGTTCCTTATTTCGTCACGTGATATGTTTGAACATGATCGAAGTTAACGATGAACGTCCAAATTCAAGAGAGAGATATTATTATGATACTTAAAAAACGTTCGATTGTGATACATAATTATTCAATACTGTTCTCACATGTTCCCCAGTACCTTTTATTTTTATTTTTTATCTTATTTTTATATTTAATAAATAGTATTTCACTGTTACTCTGTATGTAGTAGGTTTTGCCATGCCATGGAAAGACTGATTTCATCTCTTGAATTAATACAAGTGGATGTGTTGTATGCTCTAAAAATTTCCATCTCCTCCAACCATTTTAGATGGTGCATGCGCGGTGTGGTGACGATTATCTGCGCTCTATTGAAGTCTGCCACTATTTCGGGATCAGTGGCATAGGTGGAGAGTGAAGTTGTGTGTCTGTTACGTTGTACATCCAAGATGTGCTCTTTTATCCTAACCCCTAATGAACGTTTAGTCGATCCTACGTATACCAAATCCCTGCTAAACTGGTTATCTCTTAGAGGGATTGTATAGACTCCTGATAACTTCTCCACCCTGGATTGGTCCTTTTCGTTGCGTAGGATATCGAACAAAGTGCTGCACCTTCTGTATGCTAGGGTAACTTTTTGTTCCTTTGCGATAGTGCCGTATAGAGACCTCAATAGTGGGTTGAACATGATAGGTATCCTCATATTTTCTGTAGTGTTGCTAGTGTTACTTTGTTTCCGTTTGTTCATCCGTCATTCGCTCCAGTTGACAGTCCACAATTTTGCAAACACATTTATATTTATTAATTTGCTTAAAAATGTATTTTATGTGAAAATGGCAATAGCACCAGAGGACGTTTTTTACCATATTTGCATTTTGTTATGTATCTAGTAGCCTCTAAAGAAAGGTCGCCTCCATGTTTGTAAAATTGTGGACTGTCAACTGGAGTGAACGACGGATGAACAAACGGAAACAAAGTATTGTTAAACATTGCAATTTTATATTTATATATTTAATTAAATGTAATACTGTTGGCCATGTTTATATTTATTCATTTTTATTGCATATATATTGGGGTGTTCTGGTTATGCTATAATGACAGAGAACTGTTGTTTCTCTAAGACTATTGCTATAAACTTCTTAATTGAAGAGGGCTTAATTTGATAGAAAGCCAAAATGCATTTTAAAAATTTATAAAAGAGAATACAGTAGAGCGTCAATTATCCAAAACATCAATCATCCGAAAGAATTTCAGTCGGCAAATTTAAATTTTCGCCAGTGCTATGGCACTGCAATCTTTGGCTATGTCTTGGGCTACTGAAATATTTTATGTTTTTGATACTAAATTAACTTCTGAAATATAATTTTTTATTGTTTTTATATTTTTCAATATATTTATTTTGTTCATACAAAATAAAAAAAATAATTTTTAACGATACAATAGTCTTCGTTAGGCTTAACATTGACGAAAATTCAACGCGAAGCGACACGCAACGGAGAAAAATGTCAAGATGGGATAAATTAATATATTTTTTTGTACATAATCGGTTATCCGAAACATCAATCTTCCGAACAACCCCAGTCCCCAATTGATTCGGATAATCGATGCTCTACTGTATTGTTAAAAGCATTTTTTTTATTTTTTTGTCTCCAATTTTGTTTTTATTGTCCTTGGATAGACAGTGATGCATATTATGACAAGTTTGTCATATTAAATATATGAAAACTAATTTAAAAACTTTTATTCAGAAGTTTTGAATTTTTAATGGTTTTAAAGCTTGCTCAATTTTATTTTCAAAAATAAATATTTTAACATAATTTTTTATTAAAAACATAAAAATATATAACAGTTTTACTTACATTTTTGATTTTTATTAATATAAAGATAATGATTATTTTTCACTTTTCATAGTTTTATATATGTTACTGTGAATGACCGATATCTGGCAAATGTCAACATTCTCCGGTGAATGTCAGCATTCATACTGTCGTTTCGTGTATATATGAAATATTTACTAAATATCATTATTTCTCACACTGGCAAATGTCGACATTCAGCATGCACTGATGGTGAATGTTAAATAAAAGTATTTCTATTACATTAGGACAAAAATGCAACTTTTTAATGTGTCAAAATAGGAGAAAGCTTAAGTAACAGCACATGTAAATAAACCGTTGAACCTAAAATGAACAGTACATTCTTAATCAGAAAAGAAAAATAATACACAATAGTAAACTTACACATAAATTATGTGATTAACATTATACAATCTTATTTATTGCAACAACTTAAACTGTTATGGCACTTTGAATTGCACAAGAGTCCCTTGCTTTTACAACTTCATTTATTCGTGGAACACTTCTTTTTGCAATGACAGCGTGTATAGCCTTGCTCTCCATTTTTTGAATTAGCTGCAGCTGCTTCTCTCAGCGATATTTCTTGAGAAGAAATATCATCTATGGAAAGTAAAGTAACTTTTCTTTACAAATTATGAACTGATTATGGGTATAAAGCTACTTGAGGGTACCATTTTTGTTTGCTAATTTATAAAAGTCGGAGTCTTCTATTCCAACAACAACCTCCAACACATTTCGAGCATCTATACGGCAATGGTCGACGTCAGGGACTTATATTTGTATGGTATCACCAATTTGAGCAGAAGGAAATGTTCTTTTTGAAGTTTGTAACATTTTCATTGCTTGCAGTAGAAGATTCTCTTTTGCAGCCACTCTTTTTATAGAAATAACTTCGTGTTGTTCAGTCAGGGCTTGATATGAAGACATGGTGGGTTGCAGCTCCTCTTCAATATTTTCCTTTGGAATATGGTATTTGTTATGGCCACTGCTCAAATTTTCTTCAAAAGTATTAACAATTTCTTCGACCTCCACCAAAGCTTATCTGTGCTTGTCGACATACACTGGCGATTGTTCGAACGTATTATAATATAACCAAATATTCGGTCTTTCACCGATGTATTTTGTATGTGTCGACATTCACCGGAGAATATCGACATTCTCTAATTTCGGTCTTTCACAGTAACATATACACTGATTAGCATTTATCATTTTCGTTAATTTTTTAAAATGAAATAAACTTTTGATTTTGATTTATCATAATCAATTTTAATTATAGTTTAAAATGTGGTCAACAGCAGATGATAGCACAATTATTCGTTTCACATCTGATGCAAAAGATAAACCAGGAAGTAAGTTGTGTGAATTAAGAAAGCTATAATTTATTTTGCAGTTATTTAAATATAATTTTTTTTTAAATTAGATTGTGGTATTTGCATTACAACATATTCAATGATAACTCATACACAAAGGCGTTCTTGGGAAGCAGAACATGTCATGAATTGGTTAAAAAATCAAGAATGGGGTCTAATGTTGCTAGATGGTGAGTCATGTAAACTTTAATGCTATAAATTTAATACTGATTAGTTTTTATTTTAATAGTTATTAAAGCTAAATACATATTTATTTTATAAAATAATTATATATTAGCCTCTATATTAAAAATATTTCACAATTATAAGAATTGTTTTTTGGAAAACTTTTGTAAATAGTTTTAAAATATTCTTCATAACTTGCAGCAATTTTATTAAATATTATTTGGTTTAGTAAAATCTATAAAAAAAAAACAGGAATTTTTTAAAATCTTTAAACAAAATGAATACACAGATCAATTAGTCAAAGGACAAAAAATCTTGCCTTATTGTCTTCTACTTGATGAAATGCATTTTGGATGTCAGTCTTTATTGACATCCTTCTTCAGTCACATTTGTAGTGTTTTATTTCTTTATACTGGTCCAATTTCTTTTCTGCTTGCAATTTTTTTAGATAATGTTTGCCAGTAATCTTCTTGCATATCACTGTCTTCTACAATCATTATTCTCTTCTCTCTCCGTAATGTCTATGTAATGAGTAATTACATTTATTAACTCAAGTTACAACTTGTTAACAAAACCTAGCAATTAATCACAATATGGATGATTCATTAACAGAACAACACAGTGTTAACAATCCTATTCAAAAAACAAAAAAACAGTGTTAACATCTGTTAACAAAAACAAAACGAAATGGTGTTAACATCTTTTAAAACCAAAACAAAATGCAGATGGAGGGGAGAGGTTTAGAACCTCGACCACAATCCTACTCTTTCCACGACCTCATTCAGTCTCTCAGTTCTACTTGTGACAAGATTGTGGCAAAGTATGCCCCTACAAAGCTTCTCCCAACGAACTCTGACAATCTTTCAAAGTTTGTTGGGATTGGCTGCCTGAATGGGGTCACAGATGAGTGCAGCCCAAATGTGCTTGATTGGGTTGAGGTCCACCCCTCTCCCCGGCCATCCCATATCCACGACTTGTGGATGTTGTTCCACCCAGTTCTTGACAATTCTGGCTGTGTGCACTGGAGAGCAGTTGTGTACAAAGAGAAAGCGTTATTCGCTGTAGATGGCCCTCACCGTCGGCAATAATACCTGCTCCAGTATCTCGATATACTGCACAGTGGTGAGGTGACCGTCTGTCCGGACCAACTCCCCGGGACCAGCAGCCGTCATCCATCCCCATACATCTGTAAACAGAAAAAGTCAACAAAGTTGTGATTTATAAAATGAACAAGCAAATAAGTTGTCATGTTCAAAGAGTTAATGACATAAATACATGAAAACACAACATTAAAACAGTCACCTATCAAAAAACAACCTCTTTTTTGAGTGTGCCACACCTGGGGTGGGTTATACCTGGTAGATGGTGGGTGACACACCCACATGGTCCCACTGTTCGTCGAACAGAATAAAAAGATATTCTATTCAGACAAAAAGATAGTTTTCCCAGTTGGCGGTGCCCCAACATTGATATGCTTGGGCAAATCCCACCTTGTCCATCTGGTTTGCCAGTGTTAACATTTCTTCCTTGGCTGCCCTGCATCCGAACAGGTTGACCTCTCGCAAACTATGAATAAAATAAAAATACGTATTATCCTGCTTCCTACATTTCTGTATACGCAAGAGCACGTTAATAAAAATGTCTGATGGTTCATGATATTGATAGAAATATATTTCATTGGAAGGTTGGAATATTATACTACAAATGTTATATACCTTTGCTTCACTGTATCTACAGATAAGTCTAGACCCAACACCAATCTGTGCATTGAGGCGGTGGTGAATGGACTTGCCTGGCTTTCCACCCTGAGCTCAGTGCAAAATGATTGTGTAAGCGTGGATCGACTGTGCAGCTGTGGAAATTAATCACCTGTAGTGTCGGATGTTCTACCTGTTAGCAAAGGTGTTTGAGGTGGCCTGGCCGATTTGCGCCGTAATAGGGGTGAGGAAATCGAGCCAGAGTGGCACCTTGTAGCTCTGTAGGTTGACAATACTAAATGATAATTGCTCCTCCAGTAGCATCAGCCGTTTTTATTTTAAAATTGTAAAATTGTGGCCTTTGATTATCAGAAATTAGGAATGTATCTTTTATTTTCATACTTCTCTCTCTTTATAACATTTTATTTATGTTTAATTATCTGTAATTAGATACAATAGAGCTTTAAAATAAACAGATCAGGTTTCACTTGCCAATAGATTACCTCAACTTTCACCAATTGTTGTCAATTCATTTGTAATTGGAGAGGAATATATCATGTTTCAAAGTCCAGTGTTAAGTGTTTATTGCTTTTGCGGTAAGCTGATTAGAGCAGCAGAAGTCACATAATAAACCACCAATTGTTTTATTACTGTTTAAACAACTCCTCCCCACTTGTTATTCTTAGTAATTAGAGAGCGGTAGATCATGTGTCAATGTCAGTAAAAGTTTATTACTTTTGCAACAGGGTGTCGTGAGCTGCCACCTACTCCCCACCATTAATGACAACAATGTGCTAAGTGTCTTATTACTCTGTAAACAATAACTCCCTTCCCTGTCAGATGTCAAAGTTATTGTCCAATTGTATTGAACAGAATGTTGTCCTTGATATTTAAGAATCAGTTTTGTCAGAACTGTTTACTTTTAATACCTTTCTGATAATTTATTTCCACTTCAGTTATAAAACTGTTTTTATCATGTTTTAAATCGATTTGTTATAAATTATACTTGTATAAAGTTTATGAATTAAAATTGCAATGAACATTTTTTGCTTCAAGAAATATTTATTAATTATACAGAGTTCAAGTTTGCAAAAAATGTTTTCATATCTCTAAATCTTTGTTGTTATATTCTGTATATATTAATAAAATATATTGCCATTTTCTAAACAGATCTTATTGTATTCAATTTCTTATTATATTGTATTTATATCCATATTATGTTTGAATTGACCTTTTATATTTTGTAAATATTCATGTATCACATTATATTTCATTTTTTTTTAATTCTATTCTACTAATAATTATGGAAAAACTATTTTTATAACATTGTTGTCATTTTTATAACATTTATTTTCCTTTCATATGTTTTTAATTATTTTTTTTAAGCTAATGTGACCCGACCTATGAATGGCAACTTTCCTGGCATCACATAGACTTTCTATGGGAAAGCCATCATTGTAGGCATTAACTTGCCTCTGTAAAGTTGTTTATCCAGCGGGAAAGTGCCATTCGGGAGTTATGCTCGTTCAAAGGCTCATTTGCATAGTGTGATGCATTTATCAGAGTATTCGAAGTGAAAACCTGCAGTAATTAGAAGGAACCAGACAGTAAAGAATGACAGATTTTCCTCTATATTCTTTCTGTTACCCTGAAATTAAATTCAATTGTTGAGGGAAGCGACAGTATATAAAGCCTTTGCTGAAGTGCTGATTAATCCATTCAACATGCCTAAACTGATAACAAACAAAATTCAAGAATTGATCATGCAACATCGGCAGGACAGCAAAACTATTGCTGATATTGCAGAATGCCTCCGAATCTCTACCAGAATCCTTCCCAGGATTTTAAATCATCACAGGGAGACCAAGTCTGTGTCCCCTGGACAATCGTCTGGCCGACTGCACCTGATGACTCATGCTCAGGACGAGCTGTACATAGCCTTTTTGTGGGAGCAAGTGCAAAATTCACCTGTCTGCATCTATCAGGTACAAGGATCACCTTTTCTGTGTCTAACAAGTGTGGGATCACTTCTTTCTTTCTAGCTCTGCCTCAGTTCTATTGCATTACAACAAAGTCACACGATGTCCTAGTTTAACTTGTCACCCTGTAGCCAGTAAGAGAACCTTTTTATCAAGCCCATTATAGATTTGATCAGGCATGCAGTAATGCAGCCAGGAGATGAAAGATGGAGCTCGACATATCAGGATTGACCACCCCAAAAAGTAAATTTTTTTACCATCCAGATTTGATCCTGGGTTCCCCAGAGCAAGAGACTGTCATCTCTTAACTGCTCATATTTGATGTCAAGTTTTCAACTCTGGAATTTCATTAATATTTGAAATACTATAAGTTTGTCATATTGGTCGCTATTGGATAACACATTCCTAAATAATAAAAGTAAACTGATGAAAGCAGAACATTTATTTTATATCATAGAAGAGGCTCTGAAGTATTTTACAAATCTTTTTTTTCATTATTTATTTGTTAAACAAACTAAATTATGGAATTGTTGTAAATCATCAAAATGACCGCAACTCAAGAATTAAACATATCCTATAAAAGCATTGATATGAGATATATTAACACAAGGATGTTCAAAAAGTTTCTGCAAAATTGTTATTTGTAAACAGAATGTTGTATTTATAATTGATGCAAGCACACACTTGTTGAGACTTGTTTTATCATGTATTTATGCTTAGCTCCATCTGATTTTTTTAAATTCCCAAATTTAAAAATGTCATTAAAGGCATTTGATCGTAGTCAATAGAGCAAGTGAAATGTTTTTAGTGCAGTGGCTAGGATCAAAGAATACTGATTTCTACTGGAAAAGCTTAGAAGAGTGGTGACACTGTATGGAAAAATGTTTTACCTTAAATGGAACATTAAAAATAAAGTGCTGTTATCTTTTTATTTACATTTTCCAGGAACTTTTTGAATGCCCACATATATATAATTAATACCACAATATGGTGTGGAATATTTTTATAACTATTATTTTTTAAACTATCGTGTTATAGATATTTTAAATAGAATAAACTAAAAATACTTTGTCAACGTACATTAAAAAATGTATATTGAGTCAAAGTTTGTCTTTAGCTTGAACCTCTAAAAAGATAATTTATACTTTCTTAAAGCTAAAGACAAACTTTGACTCAATATACATTTTAAGAAAGTATAAATTATCTTTTTAGAGGTTCATACTATACCAGCTAAAATGTTCCGACGAGTATTAACTATTGTACAAGCTCATTGTAAACTCGGTCTGACTGCTACATTAGTACGTGAGGATGATAAGATACAAGATTTGAATTTTTTGATTGGTCCAAAACTGTATGAAGCAAATTGGTTGGAGTTACAGAAAGCAGGTTTTATTGCAAGAGTACAGTGTGCAGAGGTAATCATTTTATATATTTATTTTCACTTGTTTACAAGAAAATATTCTGTTGTGTTAAATTTCAAATCATTTAGGTATGGTGTCCAATGGTGCCAGAATTCTATAGAGAATATGTAAATGCTAGAGCAAATAAGAAAATGGTAAATTCTTCTTATAACATAAAATGTGTAATTTTTAAAATGAAATTGTAATAATTATAATTTATTTTCAGTTACTCTACGTTATGAATCCTAATAAATTTAGAGCTTGTCAGTTTCTCATAAAGTATCATGAACGTCGAAGTGATAAAATAATTGTATTTTCAGACAATGTCTTTGCTCTCAAGCATTATGCTATTAAAATGAACAAGTAAGTAGTAGTATAATATCATAGTTATACTGTATACAGAAGCAGCATAAATCAATGGCTATTAGTGTTTTATATGTATTGATACAATAAAACTTATTGTAGCAATATATTCCTCATTAGACAGTTATCTTTTTCTTATATACATAAAAAAAATTTCTGAATATTATGCAACATAATGCTCTAAAATGGCTGGATGGCTGTGGTAAGGTGTCTGACTACCACTTTGGTGACCTGGGATCAAATTGGGTGAACCAACCCTGGGAATTTTTGTGGGCATAAAGTCCCGTATCACCAGGTCATCCCATTGTGGCATTGATCAAACCCACAATGAGCATAAAAAAACATCCTTTTAGTACTCATGTTTAGGAAAGAGAAAAATGGGGAACAAAAGTTTATGAGAGCCTACATAAATCTGTGAATAAATTTTCCTTTAATTATAATTTGGTTTTTTAGATTTTAATGAAGTAACAACAAAAATATTTCAACATTAAAAGTGAGTGTGATCTTTCAACATTTACAAAATAAATAGAATTTAATAATTATTGCATTCAGTTTTGCTTATTTTAATTTGCAAACATAAATATTATAATAAAAATTAGGAATTATATGAGATTATTATTTAATGTAATAAGTATTTGACTTCTTTTGGATGATTTTTTGATAATTTAAGGATGCTATTCTATTCTATTCTATTATCTATTTATTATTATAATAGCTTAACAGAATTTGAGGAATACAATTCATTTTATGATATAGAAGATATTGTTACAAAAAATATTTTGAAAAAATGTAAACAATATAAAATTACTGATCTTTTTATTTTTATTTATTTGTCATTGAAAAATCTGTACCCATTAATTAGATAAATAAGTTAATCTAATAAAAACAACATTATAATAAAAAAATGGAATCTTTTGATATATTTATGATCAAAGCTAAAATGACAAAAAAATTTTTAAGCCAACTGAGTGTGGTTGTTTTAAAATTATTAAAAGCAATAACATTTCTTTTAAACATAGTTTGAGTGTTGGAAACTTTGCTTAGTATCTAACTCTTATCAGGTCCAACTGGTTTCTATTGATATTAAGCAGACTCAACCGTATTAATGTTATGTAAAACAGTAACTAATTTATGTAGAATTTGTATTTGTTCCTTTTTAATAAGAATGTTATTTTGGGAGGAGGCTGTCATTGCTCTTTGGCATTGTCAATGTGCAAGGTGTTCGAAAAGTTACTGTGCAGTGACAAATTTGTAATGACAGTAAAGTTAGCTGGTAGTAAAGTTATGTATGGTATTGCATACAAGACCCATACATTGTATGTCCCATATTTACACTTTATGTAGATGGCATTAACACTTCTTTGCTGATTGCATAATCTCCCATAGAATCTGACCTGCTAGGTTTCTGAACCTCATTCCCTGAATTTTGGGGCTACTGAGAAATCATTTCTAACATTTGCTGTAGTGACTTCTCTTAAATCTTTTCCACTACACAGTAACTTTTCAGACACACTGTATTTTACAAAATAAATAAATAGAATTCATTATTTAAGTTTATATTAAAATTTGGTAACTGCATTTTCTAATTTAAATTGTAAAAAATGTATTGTTTGGTACAAAGAAATGGATGAATGTTATAATGAATTCATCCCTTTTCTCCTCAGGCCTTATATTTATGGTCCTACATCTCAGGCAGAAAGGATGCAGATTCTGCAAAATTTCAAATACAATCCAAAAGTGAATACTATTTTTGTATCAAAAGTTGCAGATACATCATTTGATTTGCCAGAGGCAAATGTGTTGATACAAATATCAAGTCATGGAGGTTCTCGAAGACAAGAAGCACAAAGACTGGGAAGGATTCTAAGAGCAAAAAAAGGTATAAGTTATAAATTAAACCTTATTTTCTATTAAAATTTAAAATAAAAACTTCTTACCATTAATTTTGAAATTTGAAGGTGCAATAGCAGAAGAATATAATGCATTTTTCTATTCATTGGTATCGCAAGATACAATGGAAATGCATTTTACAAGAAAACGACAACGATTTTTAGTTAATCAAGGATATAGTTACAAAGTAGTTACAAAACTTGCAGGAATGGATGAGGTATTTATTTTAATTAAAGTCCTTTTGTATGTAAATGTCATATATTAAAATGTCTGGGTTTTGATTAATTTAGGAAGATCTTTTATATAAAACAAGAGACGAACAACTTCAACTCTTACATCAGGTCATATCTGCAAATGACACAGATGCGGAAGAGGAAAGAATTGTCGATTCAAATTCCGTTGGGCATTCTACATCTCAGGTTAAACAATATGAAAATGTTATGTGATTCAAACATTTTAACATTCTTTTTATAACATTTATTTTATTATTGCAGGTATCAAGAAGATCTGGGAATATGAGTTCCATTTCTGGTGCAGATGATACTATTTATTTAGAATACAAGAATAGTGCAAATACTGCAAGACATCCATTATTCAAACGATTTCGCAGATAGCAATTTGTACATTTTATTGTACTACTTTCGTCTGTGTTCAGAAGAAAGAAATATTTAATATGGTTACTGTTTGAAATGATTGGTAGGCAAAATTGAGGGCCTATATATGGTACATTATATATATATTGAAAATAATAATAATGCACTATGCTTCAATTTGTAATAAGTTTGTATGTGAAGTTAAGAGTTAAAACTCTTAGTCAAATTGAAGTTTTTATATATTTGTTTACACGAAACTATTATTAATGAACCATATTTATTTCTGTTCAGAATTGCAAAATAAACAGCTATCTATAAAATTTTTTAATAATGTGTTGTTCATTTATTAATCTGTAATACATTTAAGAGTTGGACTAAACTTATTATGTTGTGAATTTAGTTGAATTTCGACATGGCATATCAGAACAGTAACATCTTTCAATGTAACTAGATGAATTAATTATTTTACATAGTACATTCAAAAATTTTGCAGAAAATGTCTACAATGTGTCACAATCAGTTTGCAACATGTCTATGCATGCATTTCATGACATGATGAAAGTAAGGTTTTGGAGTATGGTTCAATGCAAAAAATGTCCAGTATTGAACTTGTACAGAGATATCTGAATAAACATTACATCATAGTCCTCCCACATCCCCATACTTGGGATCTTGCCCCATGTGATTTGCACCTCTTTCCTGCATTAATTAAAACATACACATTAAAGGCTGAAAGTTTGTTAATGCAGATGAGGTGATTGCCATTACAAAAAGTGCACTTCAGATGGTTACAAATGAGGGGCTTGAAGATGTTTTCAAAAAAACAACTGCTGGATGAAGCATGTTGCTGCAAAAGGTGAATGTTGTATGTAGTAGTAAAGACAATAAAAATCTTTTCTGTGAACTTTTGAATATCCACATAGCATTGTTACAAAATAATATCCTAACTCTGAGGATTCTGAAGCATATTTTACTGCTCAAAACATTTAGACAATAGGTACTTCAAATGAATGTGCTCACCATTTATAAAAAATTTTTTTGTACAAAAAGTCAATGATAAGTGGTGCTGGAACTATGTAAATCATGGTTATAACCACCATTTGCAAAAGCATGTTTTCCACTGCTTACAATGAGTCTGCTTTAATCTTGAGAACATCATAGAATATGATCATCTCAAGATTATAACATGCCAACAAATGCTGTTGTTTAGATCTGACACAGATGCACATCTTTCATGACAGATCTGGTCCTTCAAGAAACCCCATAACCAAAACTCACATCAGATGAGATAGATAAGATGAGCAAGAGGCCAACCTGTTGGGAAGTAATGGCTGAACATCCATTCATCTTTGAAAGTCTGCCTTAACACCTGTTGAATAGAGCAAGCAACATGCGGTAATTCACCATCTTGCGTGAATATAATATCCTGAAGGCACCCATGATGTTGAAGCTCTGGGATCACAAAAGATGTCAACATGTAAAGCTACTGTTCTGGTGATAGAACAAGTTTGGTTTCATACAAATAACATCAGCTATTGCTCCAGCACCACCTATCAGTAACTTTTTGTACTAAAAATTTTTAACTTTGTTGCTTTTGATGTAAACTATCTTTCTATGAAATTGTGAGGTTAGCTGATTAGAGTGAGGAGTTTTCCAACAGCTGAGCAGTCAACTCTGTTGCATGGGAGTGTTAGGACTCACAGAGACAGGTGTTCCGAAAAAGAACCGTTTAATAAACATTGAAATTTCCTTACAACTATTCTATATGTCAGGCAAAATGCCTATCCAATGGTGGGCAACCACAACAGTTCCACAAAAAAAGAGAAGTCCAAATGTTCAGGCGACCTTTGGGTTTCTTCGGCACAGGTGATGGAGAGAGCAATGGCCCCGGGGCACACACCAGAACTTGTAGAGATGTCCTTGGATGACGAGTTGAACCTAGGTGATTTTGGATATGATAAGTTGGTGAAACCAAATCCTAAGGCATCGAAAAAGCCTGCGTTGTTGACAGTCGGGAGCACAAAATCCCAGAAGGGGAACACTACAAACCAAGAAGCTTTTTAACTTGAATCGCACAGTTTTATAGAGTTTTCCCCCGTCACCTGGTGACAGTTCGAAACCTGATGGAGGGCGCATGAGAGGTCAGCGTCACGACTGAATATGATTCCTCTCTCTCTCTCGTCGCGTTTTCCTTGAATTTATCTGTTTCCGTTGTTTAACGAATTTACAAAAAAAAAAAAAAAATTGCATTGTTCAATCGAGACACCTAATCCTTTACATTAGCGTCTGAAAAGGAGGTCTTTATTTTAAATTGACACCCCTCATTTGAACCTCTCAGTTGACCCCTGTTCGAGTCCTCACAAAATGGGTTAGGCCAATTCATCTTTTATACTTTATTTTGGAACCAGTAATATTTTCTCTGAAATGAATTTTCTTTTTGCTATAGTGCAACCCCAAGAGCCAATGAGAAACCAGTGCTAAGATCACATGTAATAACAACGATGATTGACATTAGTTGTAACAGTGAACTTTAGAGTCTCAAAAATATGAAAAATGAACAAAATAACTTTTTTTTTTTTTTTTTGACAAAATAACTAATTGTGAATTTGCCAAGGATAAGAATCCTGTTGCTTTCAGTTGCATTGCGATTACATATTGAAGTATCTGTTGAACATCCATGGAAATAGTGGTAAGTATTCTTCAGATTTAGTCAAGTAATTATGTAAATCTTGTTAAATGGCATAAGATAACAATGCTATCTAAAAAAGTTAGCCTCATCCCAAAAATTTCTAAACTAAGGTTAAATTCAAATAGTTAGATATTAATGATCTTTTGAAATATATACAGTACTACTAATTCACCATTCAGCCTTATTTTTGAAAAAATAAAAGATTTGGCAAAGAAAATTTGTACAAATAAATGCTCTGTCAAAATGCCATTATTCTTCTACTTGTACAAAATGTAGGTACTCCATTAATAAGTTTTAGTACAGAGCAGTTTTCATCTAGTGAGTTGTCTAGAACAGGCTTTTTTTTTTTTTTTTGACGTAGGGTAGCATTTTTTAAACAAGGGAGTTGTGTGACTCGAGGGGTAGACTAAAAATTTTAGATGGTTACAAAAATTTGGAAAAACTAAGGTTTATGCATATGAAATAAGTATATAAAGAAAGGTATGTGTTACATATTTGTTAATGCTTGATATGTTGAAATTGTATGAAAAAACTTAAATTTTAGATCATGCCATTCAGAGTTTGTTTTGCACCATATAGTATAAGGTATAGTCATAAAAATTTTATTGTAAAATGGGGTCTAAAACTTTTTTGTTGTAAGAAGGGGTCATAGATAAAAAGTTTGAGATTCTGACATAGGAGAATCTAGTTTATATTTCTATGGATAGACTGTATAAGTGTAACAGATTGAGATGGGTGTACAATCAGCGGCGGCCTTAACCATTGCGAGGCTCCGGGCGACAGATCTTTGTGAGGCCCTTCTCCTTTGTGCAAAGTATATGAATTGAAAGTAGGTATTTCTGATGATTGACAAGAAATGCAAAAGTTATAAATGAATAAATTTAGAGTTTTAAAGTATTATATTAGAAGATTTATAAAAGTTAACAAACATAAAGACGACAAATTATTATTTTTTTTACTCTTTCCACTCTGTGGGCATTAAGAGGGAAAACCCTAATGGTCCTGCTATAAGAGTATAGCAGGCCCATTAGAGTTCGGCAAGGCACACAATCGGGCGACAGGGTGGTGAGGGACTGGAACCGACATATCCGAACGGACCACCCCCCGAAAATTTCCTAAGGATTCCTTAACCCATCCGGATTCGATCCTGGGTCCTCCAGAGCGGTAGGCTGCCATCTTGACCGCTCGGCCATCCGGTCTACGACGACAAATTATCAATGATGATAAACTAAGGTACATAAATGCCTTAAAAGATATACACGGAATTTAAAAATTAACCATTTCAACATACAATCTTTGCGCAGTCAGCTAGATTCGTGAGACTTTAGGTAATCACCCAAGTGTTTCCAATCACACACTCCTTCATTGGATCCAATTCTTGTGTTTTCTAGTCCGAACGTTCGACACGGAAAGCAGTAAACGGCATCCAGCACTTGTCAAGTTTTTCACCATTAGCTAATATTTTACTGTAATGATATTCGCTGAATAGCCGTCCATTATCATTTACAGGGAAAAAATCAACTTTAACCCGGATTGGACTTTTTAATACAATCTCAGTTTGGTCTACATCAGTAATTGTTAATGGCCACAAACCTGGGTCATTTTGAGGATTCAGATTTTCAATTCTGCCAGTCATGAATGTAGACATAGACTCAGATACGTATTCTTGGCTGGATAGGGTTGACGGTGGCGGTGGTGTAAGAGACAAAGTGATGTTGACTCATTATCCTCGCTATTATTACTAGGTGGCAGCGGCACCCATGACGATGTTGAAAGAATAATTTCAGCTGGGTTAGGGTTACAGTGCAGTAATGTGTCACTTTCAGTCAATGAAGGGTTTCTAGAGGTTTCTTGACCATCACTTTTTATTTATTTATATAAAGACCCACGTAGATTTTCTTCTACCCGCTTTCTTTTGATAGCTCGTTTCCTTTTTGAACTCCGACTCAAATTTTCTACCGGCATCACGATCAAGCGAACTCATTTCATAAATTCTGTTTCGCACATAAAACTAATTCAGAAATAATTTACAAGCAGTTTTACACAGTTTTTTTTAACAATTCACTCTTTACCATAAGTACTGTTAATAATGTAAGATTCACTAAAACTTAATATCATTTAATGTTTATTTACCCACTGAAAGATATGTGCCATACAAACGATTATGTAGCGCATACAGCTGCTAGCAAAATAAGCGTCAGGTGACAAGAATTGACAAACGAAATGAAACACGGGGATACCCCGAGCATAAATCGTAAACACCATGAATCACGAAAGTAACAAAACCGCCCGTTCAAGTGAGTTTTCTAAGCGCGAGGAACAGGATTCAAATAGTAATAAATTTTTCAAATATGTTTTACAGTCAAATTACAAAAAATATTATTATTCACTGATAAATAAATAAATTAATTTTGATATCGTTAATCTTACCTTTTATACGAATGTGAGATTGAATAAATCTAAATGAGAAATTTTATTTAGGCACTTATTAATAATAATATATACTGTACTATGAATTAATCAAATTTATTTTATTGTTATAACTAATAGCTAAGGATAAAATAAAAAGTTTTAAATATCAACTTTTTTCTACTCGGGTTGTTGCACGAGGCCCCGGGCGATTGCCCTGCTCGCCACCCCCTAAGGCCGCCTCTGTGTACAATAATTTTAAGCGAAATATGATAACTTCAAGAGGCAGATATGATATTTTCTCCTGTAAGGTTGACCACTACCAATAAAATAATTTTAAATTCCAAGAAAAACCATAAATGTAAAACTAACAAGTTGTCTTTTTTTTTTTTTTTTTTTTAAAGTGGCTTAGACCACTGTTGTGCTGATCCTCTCAATTGGAATATGGAAAAATCAAAATTATTTATTGTGATAATGTCAAAATGATAGGCTGTAATTTTTATGTGAAATCTGAAACTGCAATTCTGTTTTATCTATGATGGCTCTATTTTTAATGTGACATTTATCACAGAAAATGTGAGATCACACCCCTCTGTCTGTAGACCTTATATCACTTGACCCTCTAAGGCAGTGGTTCCCAAACTTTTTTGATTCTCAGCACCCTTGCTAAATCTAGATTTTCCCAAGGCACCCTATGTCAAATTCTAACAAGTACAATTTGCAAAATAGTCAATATTTTTTAAATAAAGTAAAATTATAAACATTTTATAACATTTTGTGGTGTTCCTGTGAGGAAGCTGTGGCACACACTTTGGGAACCACTGCTCTAAAATGTACTGAGGTTTGCCCAAAAGAGAGCCTATGTGGTGTAGTCTCCATATGAATCTATGCGCAGAAAGAAAAGTTTGCCCAATAAGCAAAGAACTCTAGCATAGGGCCTGGTGATAGATGAAAAGTGGGCTTTTTTTGACAATGAATATGTAGAATAGTTTTTCATTAATAAAAAACAATCTTAAAGATTTCATTATTTTGTTCATAAAACTAACATTAATTTATGGAATAGGAACCACAACGAACACCTAAGTTTTCTCCAGGCCTGGGAAAAAATTCCCAGCTCCTCCTCAATGGTCCTGCAGCTAACATGTACGAGGCGTGTCTGGAAAGTAAGTACTGTTTTGTTCTACCGCCACCGCAGCGGTAGTATCGCAGTTCAGTGCCTGCGCGCACGTGTCTCTGGTTGATTGTCAGTCCAGTGACGCTATTAGAGCCGGATTGTGTTGTTTTTCCACGTGTTAGTGAGCGTTCAAAATGTTTAAGAAGATTGCCGATCCTGCCGACTGTGAAGTGCATTCTGTAATACGGTTTTTGAACGCAAAGAATGTTAAGCCACTTGAAATTCATTGTCAACTTGTAGAGATTTATGGTGAAAATGTAATGAGTGATGGAATGGTGAGAAAGTGGGTTCAACAATTCAATGCTGGATGCACCAATGTTCATGACAAAGCACAGAGTGGCTGGCCTTCTGTTGTCAATGATGGTTTGGTTGCAAAAGTGAATAAGAAAATTCTTGAAAACAGACTGTTCACAATAAGATTGCTTTGTGATGAGTTTCCACAAATTTCAAAAAATGTTTTGCATGAGATTGTCACAAATCGCTTAAATTATTGCAAATTTTGTTCCCATTGGGTTCCCAAAATGCTTACGGATGTCCACAAAATGAAGCGACTTGGAAGTGCTTTGACATTTCTTACCCGATACAGTGAAGAGGGTAATGATTTCCTCAACAAAATTGTTACCAGTGATGAAACTTGGGTTTGTCATGTCACTCCAGAATCAAAACAACAGTCGATGGAGTGGAGGCACTCATGGTCCCCCGCAAGACACAAATTCAAAACAACGTTGTCAGCACGAAAAATCATGTGCACAGTGTTCTGGGACAGACAGGGCATTCTGCTTGTTGAGTTCCTTCCCAGAGGTGAAACTATCAATACGGAACGATACTGTGAAACATTGCGAAAACTTCACTGTACAATTCAAAACAAAAGGCGTGGAAATCTCAGTAAAGGCATTGTGTTGTTTCATGACAATGCACGTCCCCATACTGCTGGTGTCACTCAAAACCTTATTCAACAGGTTTGGAGCAGTTCAATCACCCGCTGTACAGCCCCTACCTCGCACCTGCAGACTACTATTTGTTCTTGAACTAGAAGCATGATTTTGGAGGGAGGCGCTTTGCCAGCGATGAACATGCAACAACCAATGTTCAGCAGTGGCTGTCTTCACTGGCAATCTTTCTTTGAAGAGGATATAGACAAGTTGGTTTCCTGATATAACAAATGTCTGAACAATGGTGGTATGTAGAAAAATAGTTTCCAACATGATCTTTCGTGTAAAACTAAATTTTGCTATGAAAAAAGATTTTTTATGCGAGTTTTTCGATACTTTCTGGACACGCCTCGTATATTGAATGAAAGTTATAAGACATTATGTAATTATTCATACTTGTGTTTATATTATCAGTAATAATAAAACTGCGGTTATGATAATTTTCAAATAGCCATATTTTACTGTATAGTTTGAAACATGTATTTTCTTGGTAAAGGAGTTTAGTATGTCAATCTTAGTGATTTACCCTAAAGAAGTCTTATTAAGAGCAATTACTTAATATCAAGTAATTCTGTTTACTTTTATATTTGAGTTTTAGAATAAATAGAATATTAGGTATAACATCATTGTAATCAAACCCATTCACCATGTTCATTGATTGAAATCTGATTGGGTTGGGTTTTGGATTATCATCCTTGTTAATTCCTGAAATTGAGCAAGTACAAGGAATCTCCAAGTTCTGTTTCCTTTAATGACACACAGAATACAGATAATTTATTTATTGCCTGACATAAATAATGATAATTATTGTATCAAATATGACAATAAGATTGAAAAAGGCTGCCCATCCCTGCCTTTTTCAAGGCTGGGATGGGCAGCCTTTTTCTATGTAAGGGCCGTATTTCAAAATTTTTGAAACTGACATCGGCCGCATACAAGAGAAGAGAGAGAAAAATTGCAGGTAAATCACAATTATTTATTGTGTAACTATGTATAACTATAAATTAGCATAGGTATACTTAATTTAGCTTCTGGAACTGGTGTAAACATTATATATTGGAAATATTTGGTTAAATATTAGTCACTGCTAGCTTTAAATTAGTTTCGACGTGTCTGTTAGCCAGTTTCTTGTTCTAATTTTTCTAAATTCATTGCAAGAAAAACTATTCATATACATAAGTTATAGAAAATAACATTTGAATTTTTTCTTCATACTTCCTTATGCTTGAAAATTGATATATTTATTCATATTTTATGCGACACGAGATGCCTGCAGCCTGGTTTAAGGTAGGGACATGCTAGACATTTTCTAAGCAGTAACATACACTTTATGATGAAAAAAAGCTGAAAACAAACTGCTCAACTTGTTTTAGCATGTAACATGTAACATAAACCAATCAGAATGACTAATATGATTTGATGATAATCACAATCAAACATGGTGGTGGAAAATAGATATTTCTAGATGGCATTGTATATTTTGTTTGGTGGTCTAATGCAGTGTTCCGCAACCAGTGTGCTGTCACAAGGTGAAAGGTGTGACGTGAACTTTTACATATTCTATTAATCTCAAGTTTTATTTATATATTTTTATCACAGTCGTTATGTTTATTATGCTTGTATTTCATTCACTGATGAAATATAAGCATACGTTTGAATGTTTGAAGTGTTATAATAAATTTGGCTGTATTATATAAGGTTTGTGAGTAGTGTAATTATTATGATATACAGTCTACGAAGAGATTGAGTATGGCAACGCCGGCCAAAAGGTATCGAATTTTAATTACGAAGATTTGTAGAAACGATGCAAAAACGGACTTCTTAATGGAATGCAGAAAATGCAATGTGTTCCCCATGTCAATATGGAGAATACGGTTACCGCATGGATGTGCCTCTCTACTGCCAAGATTACGAGTAGTATGCTTAAGAAAAGCCATCCGCTCCACACGACGCAGAAGGTATTACCTGCTAAAAAAGCTAGTAGATCTAGAAAACGAGTTATATGAATCAGGGCCACACATATTAGAGGAAGCTAACAACCGTGTAATAAAACTAGCCAATCAAATTACAGAAAGAATGCGGAAAAAGTATAAGAAAAAAATGGAATGGATTAAAAAGCATCAGGAAGATAGAGTAAGACCGCAAGTCAACACAACAATTATATCCTGGGATGGCATCATACCTCCAACATATGTTAAGGAAGCTTGCAAATTTGGCCCTAAATACGTCCCGCAACCCAAACTCACACACGAAAAGATCGTGCCGGACGTTGAGCAAGCAATAGAAGGGCTAAGTGAGATAAAGAAGGAAATGTTTAGATGGGAGATTGCTCTTAAAATAAAGCATATAAATAAGAAACGAGACAGCAATCAAACATGGATGAATATCAAAAAAAGCAAACAATGGCTGAAAGATAATAACTTAGTACTTACAAGAGCCGACAAATCAAAGGATGTAGTAATCATGAAAAGAAATACATATGATGAACTGTTGCTGAAATACATAAATGAAACAAAATGTATTACTGCGCACCCACGTGCTTTGGAGAGACTGCAAACAAGAATCAAGCAATTCGCTAAAACACCACTTGCAAAAGAGCTGGGTATGACGAAAATAGTAGTCACCTCTCCATCCATGCCGAGACTCTTCGGATTTGCTAAGACGCATAAAATCGGAAAAAGTATTAGGCCAGTCGTAGATAAAGGAGATTCACCTACAATAATATTGGAAAGATTACTTAAAGGCTTTATTAACACGCACTTGCCCACGCACAATTACAGCATAAAAAATCCTCTAGAGCTGCTCCATAAATTGAAAAATATAAAACCACAAGAAGTAAGTTATATGACAGTATTGGATTTTAAAGCGTTATATCCATCCATTAAACTAGAGCCTTGTTTTTGCCACTTAAGAGATTTCTTGTTAAACAAAATCAAAAATACAGAAAAGAAGAGAAAACAGATACTAGAGCTGACGCATCTAACCACATATTCGTCGATATTTAACTTCAAAGGAGTCACATATGCGCAGCAGAAAGGTGTAGCAATGGGAAGCCCAATAGCAGGTACGCTATGTGAAATGGTTTTAAGAACATTAGAGAACAACATCATACCAAAATATGGAATGCAAATCGTATTATATGCTCGGTATGTCGACGACGTGCTTATCATATGGAAAGCAAAACCAATACTACAGCAATTTATAAAAGACATCAATGACAACAATTTTGGCCTAGAGATTGAGCTGGAACAAGAAAATGATAAAATTATACATTTTCTGGATTTATCATTACAAATAGATAAAGGGGATATAACTACAAAGGTGTACAGAAAGCCTACATATAACCCATTATTTATTCCCTGGAATTCTCACGACCCAGCAACCTATAAACTTGCAGCTTTCAGGGCGCTCATAGCAAGAGCGCACTCGCACTGTAGCAAAAGGCAAGATAGAAATGAAGAGATGCAATATATAAAAAAGCTAGCAAGGCAGTTTGGGGTTAACATTAAGGCTATAACCAACAAAACAAAAACAGGCAGCAACGAGCTCAATCTAAGAAATAAAAGGGAAGAGTATACGATGATGGAGTACAGGGCGCAGTTAAACAATATATACAAAAGAATAGGAGCAGCAACAAAAAAGAAAATAATTTACAAAAGGAATCCAACAGTTTACCAAATGTTAAGAACAGACAAAGACGAGGTAGACGGAAACCTTCTTCCCGGAGTATACAGAGTTCCAATAACAGATAAAAGGCGACAGAAAGAGCTGTTTTACATTGGAGCTACAGGGAGATCGCTCAAAGAAAGAATGATAGAGCACAAACGAAACATACGAAATGAGCAGCCAGTCACAGCGCTAGCGACATACATCCTAGCAGACCCTACAGAAGTTAAAGCAGAGTGGGATAAGGCAAAGTTAATACAAAAAATTCACGACAAAAGGCATCTCAAATACGCAGAGGCGTGGCATATTTGTAAAAATAGTCAAGAAGGGCAGGCAATTAACTTTAGAGAAGCAAGTAAAATATCGGAAGCATGGAGATCGAGCTTAATATAGCGGAGCGAAATAATAGAAATAGCAAGACAAATTTTGGAAAAGCATGCATATGAAAGGAGCAATCGGGCTACACGTGCATTATTATTAGTGATTTTATGGTTATATTTAGCATTGTTGTCTTTATTTATGTTAGGTTCATATATGTATGGTTTGATGTATCGTATTAGTGGTTAATGGTAGTATTCTTTATTGCGTGTATTTTTAACGGTAAACAAACGGCACGATTCTGCGCAATAAGAGTTTGTTTAAAAAGCGTTCCAAAACGCATTTATCGTTTTTATGAATTCGCCAATATTCGATTTTCGTTGGTTCGTTCTTGAAAAAGGGCATTAAAGATGTCCGAAAACGTTTGAAGTGTTATAATAAATTTGGCTGTATTATATAAGGTTTGTGAGTAGTGTAATTATTATGATATACAGTCTACGAAGAGAAATAAGATGATGTTAAAGCTATAAACACATATGTTGTCCCAGTACTCACTTATTCTTTTGGAGTTATACATTGGACTCACATAGATCTTGAGCAACTCCAAATGAAAACAAGAACACTTACTAAGCATAAACAACATTGGACTCACACAGATCTTGAGCAACTCCAAATGAAAACAAGAACACTTACTAAGCATAAACAGCATCATCCTAAATCTGTCATAGAAAGATTAACCCTTCCACGTAAAGATGGCGGATGTGGCCTGATTGACATAGTTAACCTCCACTACAAACAAATACAGACATTGCGAGAGTTTTTCTACTAAAAACAAGAAACATTACAGTTGCATAAAGCAGTAACTCTAGCAGACTCAAATAATACACCATTAAATTTACATTCACAACATATGGACACAACACAACATATAAACAGCCTACACGGCTAGCATCTCCATATCAACCGAAATAAGAAGAAAAAGAAGGAAGAAGAAACAATTGTGGGCTCAAAAGGCACTCCATGGCAGACATCCTTACGACCTGGCCCAGGATTTTGTTAACAAAACTGCGTCAAATAGCTGGTTAGCTCGTGGATGCCTCTTTGGGGAGATGGAAGGATTCATGATTGTCATACAGGATCAGGTCATAAATACTAAAAACTACAGAAAACACATACAACACTCACAAATGACACATGCAGAAAATGTCACATCATGCCAGAAACCATATAACACATCACTTCTGGTTGCAAGCTCTTGGCACAGACAGATTATTTACATAGACATAATCAAATAGCAAATATAATACACTAAGAGCTTGCAAAGAAACATCAAATTATTAAACACCCACGAACCATACTACAACTACATTCCACAGACAGTATTGGAAAACAACGTGCACAAAATGTACTACAACAGCCATTATCACAGATAAAACAATTTACCACAATAGTACTTACCTTATGTCTCATTGACAAACACAATAAAATCACATAAATTATAGACATATCTGTTCCAAACACTCACAATGTTCAAAACACATGCAGTGAAAAAATCAGCAAGTACACAGAACTCGCCCAGGAAATAAGACATCTATGGAGGATGGATAGGGTTCTTATTATACCTGTCATTCTCTCCTCTACAGTGTCATACCACACATGCTACACATAAAACTGGGAGCATTAAAATTGAATAGAAACACATATATCATGCTACAGAAGGCCACTATATTGAATACATATCATATTGTTAGAAAATTCCTGAATACCGTCCGCGTAATACACAGCCATTGGTGTCAACCAAGTGTAACTCACAAAACTCAACATAATAATAATAATAGATTTATGGCATTATGAAATTCTACTAATAGTATCATATCATACGTTTTTGAGGGGAATAACATTTTGGTGTGCCGTGTTGAGTCATGTCGAGTCAGAGGTGTGCTGCGAGTAGAAAAAGGTTGCGGAACGCTGGTCTAATGCATTGCTGCTCCCAAAAAAAAAAAAACAAAAACCAAAACAAAGTGACTGAAATGTTTAAGCAGAAAACATTTACTGTGTTTCTACCTTTACATCATTTTAATTTATTATAATTAACCATAAAATGCCTAAAATATTTACTCATTATAAACTTTTCTCTCAGCCCAAAATTCTTATTTTTATAGCTTTATTAAAAAAAAGTGAATATATAATTAGACAAAATTTCTTAAATGAATTAATATCACATGATTTATTGCATGACCAACTGCATCACTTGTATAATCTTATGATATTCTAAAATAATGGTTCCTGAAGCAGGCTTATGGGACATTAGGATTATTTGAATGGACACTAAGATGCAAGTGGGCAGCATTGCAGGCAGACTCCATCAAGCTTGTTTTTTACTTGACTAATCATTGACAATTACTATTAGTTAGTTACCCTATGCAATATAACAATTATTCAATTGTTGCTTGAAATATAATGGGAGATTTTAATATTTAGATACAAATCTCCTAGTTTCTTGACCTCATGTATAGTCCTTGATTAACAGGCCTATACATTCCCCAAAAAATAGATATATATGTTAACTTCATACAAAGCCTACTAGTGACCATTACTGAAAACATGACATGTAATACAAAAACTGTTCATAATGAATTACATTAAAATAAAAATATGCTGACCAAAAGTGCATTAAAAAAATTATTGATATATGCCACTCATCAAACCATCACCAGTTCATGTCACAAAAAAGAAAGATCCTTACAAACATTTTCGTTTATGTGAAATAGACATCTTCAGCTCAAACATATTTATGATAGAACTTGGCTGGTGAAGCCATCTTCAACATATGACCTGAAGAGGTCTATTTCACATAGACAAAAACATTTGTAAATATGTTTCTTTTTTCATGACACGAACTGGTGATGGTTTGGTGAGTGGTATATTTACAATTACTCAGTTTCTGAGATATATTAAATTATCTATATTTGGGAGAACATAATCTTAAACCTAGTAAACATGATGCAATTTCTGGTCAGATTATTTTCATTTGCGATATAATTTGGTGGTGTCAGGTTATTTTCATTTGTGATATAAACACAAAACAGTTTTTAATTTCTAAATACTAATTATAAGCTCCTGATTTTATTTATTTGTTTTAGTACAGCAATCTTCAATAATTTTTTAGAAACATTTACTAATGATATTTTATTGAGGATTGCTACATTGTTGACAAAGGTAATCATCATATATGTATATACAGGTATACCTCGACTTATGTCATTTCGAGTTACGTTGTTCCCGATTATATGTCGTTTGTCAAAAAAGTATATGGAAAAATAAAAATCAAGTTTAAGTCATTTTATTCGACTTTACATCTGTCCACCACAAATATTGAAGTCGTAATATCACTAGAAAAACGTTTAAAGCACATAAAATCATATTAAAATATATACATTTACAAGTATGTACTGTATTTACAGTACATGCATTCATAAATTTAGATTACTTTTTTCTGTACTATATTAAAAACCACAATTTATTTGTTAATATATGGTTAATAAGGATCTATTTTAAGATTACAAGCTTAAAATAGATCCTTATTAACCATATATTATTAAAAATGCATTAATAAATAAAATACAGAACCAGGAATGGTAATTTATGGTTTAGCCTAGTAATAAGTAGATTTGGAGACAAGTAAATTCGACTTATGTCGCCTCTCCTGGAACCAATTACTGATGTAAGACAAGGTATACCTGTATTTAAAGTCAACACAAATTTTATTTGTATAAACCTGTGTAAAACTCAATTATAGTTGTCTCTAAGGGAAAATTCCATATTATTGTGCCTGCAATTTCCCTCCCACACCAACTTGCTCCTGCTAAAATATGGGTGTAGACATCTTGTTATGCACAGGTACAGAATATACTGATTCTGATTGATTTTGAATTTCCTCAGGTTTTTCTTGGCTGCAATTGAAAATATAGTACAAACTTTTATTGGGCCAATTCAGTCATATTGTTGCAATTATTTTGTGTACAAAAGTCTGCTGTGACAAATTGTACTGTGTTTGCTCTCCTTTAGTGCAGTTTATTAACTCTGCTCCACACAAAGAAACCAACTCCAGATTATTTATTGAAAATAGTAATTGGAAACTTGTTAAGTGACTTTAGAACGGCATTAAGAAATGTATACAGTGGAACCTCGTTTAACAAGCACCTCTCATAAATCATTTGCATAACGAGCAAAACAAATTGTAAAAAAATGACTCGCTTAATGAGCAATGTTTTGCATAACGAGTGATGAGAAGGTAAGTCCCAGATTGTGTGCATGCTACATCAGTCTGTGTTTAGCACTTGTTCCACTAGCATCTTAGTGTCAGTTGTGATCACACATTTTTCCAGACTTGTGTTCAAACATATTACATATAAACAACAACCATACAGGCTTATACAGTGTCCAGAAAGAGTGAGTGTAGTTTAAAAGTAAAATAAATTAAAATTAAAAATGTTCAAAGAAAGTTTTGTTTTTATTTTCAATCTACAGTTATTGAAAAATTATTTACTAAAAATTGCGTTATCTAAATGACGTATTCTTGGGCTATGTAAAGGCTATAATTAAATATTAGAAATTAAATAATTTGACTTGAGAGGTAGGCAGTTATGGTGCCATCTCACATTACATTTAATGACCAATTCCAAATTAAATTTAGATTTTTTTTTTTGTTTTCTGCAAATCGAATTCACATTCCAGGTTGGATCATTCCACACTAGAAGAAAAGATGATGATGATTCAGCTCCTTAACAATGTATGTTGTATAATTTTCTTTGAATAAACATTAAACATAATATATTTGAGTATTTTTTTCAGCAGGGAATGAATTATTGTATTTTACATTAATTTATATATGAAAAATTGTTTCGCTTAACAAGTAAGATTCTGGAATGAATTATGTTTGTTGAGCAAGGTTCCACTGTAGTTTATTCCTCACATTAATAATTTATAACAATGTAGTAGGTATTAATTTGTTGCTTGAGATTATTCCTAAATGAGTATTTTTAAGCTGAAAATCAGTTAAGTTCATAAGTTTTATTTATGAATCTGTTAATATTTAATTTTATTCATTTTCTTAACTAAAAGAATTACACACTTTTTACATTAACAAAATTAAATTAATTTTAAGATACTTCTTTTGTTATTTCTTCTATATTGATTTTTGACTTTGTTTTTGACAATTCTAGTTTATTTACAGGCATCTGCATCAATCCCAACAACGTAGCATCTGCTTCTAACAGAGTGATGTCTTTTGTTGCTCCCAAAAATCGAGAAGACAATTCGAGATTATTTATTCGTAATTTCACTTTTGCTCCACGGATGTACTTCCTAAAAAATATTAAATCTTTAAGAACACAATCAAGTAATGATAATCAAAATGAATTATGTACAATACAAATTTATAAAAAAAATCCAGCAACAAGTTGCTTGATTTTCTAGCAACATTTAAAACTGCATGTGAGGCATCATTTGTTATGATATTTTATTGAAACAATATTTGTATATTTTTAATTATTACAAAATGACAAAGAGCTTAATTTTGAAGGTAGGAATGGGTTTTATAAAAACTCATAAATACTAATAATGAGTAAAATAATCAAGTCCAACCCTACTCAGGTAAGATACACAATCCATCTTTATCTCCCCACCCCATCAACTTTTAACTACCAAAATTTAATAGCATCAATTTCCCTAATACACAGACCTCTCTGCAAAATTTCAGAAATTTTTGACAAAAAACACAGAATTAAGCTTCAAATAGGGTAAATGAACTTGTGCACCCTCCACATACACAACCCCCCTCTGAAGTTTTAAGACCTCGAAACATTAAGAAATGCAAATGTTTCGAGGTCCTCAATTCAAAACTAAAATTCTTCAGGGTCATTTTTTTGATCGATTGCCATACTTTCCCTCTATTATATATAACAGAGCTAGGAAAGTAAAAAGGATTACTGGACATCAGATGGCCAGATTGATGATTGGCATTAATCATACAAAAAAGAGAATATTGAATAAATATATCTCACTTGATTTGCAAAAATACATAATGAATAATAATAATAATAAATTATTTATTTATGAAAAGATATCCAAAGTTAAAGTTTGAAAATAATCGTGACTGATAAATTATTCTGTAGATCACAAAAGTTAAACTGATTAAATCAACAAGTTTAAAAATTATACAGGGTCTCTCAAAACAAATGCTACCATTTTAAAGTACTGTAATTAGGTTAACTATTATCTGAGAAAAATGCAAAATACATTAATTGATAGAGTAACTATCTGAGTTTCATCTCCCATCTATATTCAAATTCTTATTGTCTACTTCTTATGAAAGTACCATAAATGATAATGTCAACTCAGCAACAGAAAAAGTGTTTTGTATTCTGCAGTTTTCAGTCAGAATCACTCATTGCACAATGTAACCTTCAGTAGAATTGTGGCTGCTGTGGGGAATGACAAAAGGATATGTTCCCAGAATTTAGAACATTAAATAAAATAGTGTTAAATTGCATGCCAGACTAACTCACCGAAAAACTCTCTTGAACTTCTCATCATATTAAGAGACGAATGAAGGCAAATTCCACCTGCAGTGAATTCAAAACTTGGTGGAAAGTCTGCCCAGAAGAGTGAATGCTGCAGCAAAAGGAGGTCAAATCTCTTATTAAGTACATAGCCTAGACCTGGAATGTTCAACCCGTGGCCCACTCCACCCTAAATTTTTTAGGTACATTTTCATTTATTTTCATAAAGAATGTTGTTAAAAATTATTCTCGTTTCACTTGATACACGTTGATGTCCTAATGCTAGAAAACTACTACCCCACATGTATAACATACTGTTGTGAACAATTCTTTTTGTGCATGAAAAACATCAAAACTGCTGAAAAAATAGATTGAGTGATTCCCATTTAACTAACATTCTTAGAACTAAGATTAGTACCATAAAAGCAGATATTCACATTATTATAAAAGGAAGGCAATATTAGAAATCACATTGAATTTATTTTTATTTTGTGTGAGTATAATTTTTTTACTGTCAATAATACAGTATTTTATGTAATCTAAATATATAAAATTACTTGTCCTGACTGACTAACTGATTGATTCATCATTGCCCAGAGCAAACCACTGAACCTAAAGAGGTGAAATTTGGTACACAGTTAGGGTACATCATGAAAACACACACTAAGAAGGGATTTTTCGAAATCCTCCTGCAGGAAAGAGAGAGAGGATTAAGGCTTAACCTGAAGAATGGCTTCTACTGTACAATAAATCACCAAACGATTGCCTAAATATCGGGCTTTGAGATGTTATCATTCTACTGTACTATTTTAAGTGCAATTTTTTGTTTTGTAACATTTCGTCTTCATTGATACAGGACTATCATTGTACGTATTTCACTACTCAGTCCCATATTACTCTTTGTTCCGTTTTCTCCCTAAACTCTGCATGAGGCGGCCAGCACGTGGCAGCACCTCGGAAATAGAACATACTATTGCATATTGACAAGTAAGAAACATCAAAATTAGCAATGTTGAGATTCTATTCAATCAGTTTGTATATCTAAAAGTCTATTTAGAGAAAAATAATATCAATCAAAACTACAAAGCAACTATGAAATTGAGTATAGGAGAGATATAGCTGAAGTTTTCTGCAGATACAAAGCATACTGATCAGAAGACATTCTAATAAAGCAATGTGAATATATATTTGATATTGCAACCCACAATGCAAATGTGGAGAGAATATTTTCCCTGATGTCAACTCAATGGTCAGATGAAAGAAACAGGTTGTCAGTGGAGACAATTGAAGCAATTTTGATTTGTCATTATAATTTTATAATGACTTGCACCCAATTTTATAATTATATGAAAAAAGAAAATGGTATAATTAAGAAAGTAAAATCAACTTTAAAATATGACTGGACTAAAAAGGATTAGCCTTGCATCTTTTTTATTACTCTGCATGTTCATTTTATTAGATTGCTTAAACTTTATTGATTTTTTATCAGAGTAAACTAAACCCATACCTACCCACTTTTTTCATATTTTGTTTATTTAGCACTTAAATATATGTCCTGTATCAATGCCTGGCAATTATGGCAACCATATACAGTGGTGCCTCGTATAACGTACTTAATCCGTTCCAGGTGCACGTCCGTTAAGTGAAAAGTCCGTTATACGAAACGCATTTTCCCATAGAAATACATGTTAATTAAAACATATAATTCGTTCCGCGGCATAAAATAACCGTACTGTATTATTGAAAAAGAAATGAAAATGGAGCAGTCACCAATTATACCGGGTAATCAGATGTTGTGAGGAGGAGGTGGAGGAACACTTTACACATTCATACAGATACAGACTTTACACATTGCAGAAGGTTTCTTTTTATTGTTTTTAATCGGAATCAGATTCAGGAGAGGCTACCAGAGCTTGCAGGGTCATCTCCTCTTGTTCCATTCTTTGTTTTTTGGCAGCTGGCTTCTTGAAAAACATGTCCAAGGTGGTCTGTTTCTCTCTCTTCTTCAACACCTGTTGGAAATGACGGGCAAGGGTGTCATTGTAGAGATCATTGATCCTGTTGGCCTCAGCTCTGTTTGGATAATGAGTGTTGGTAAACTCCTGAACCTCTCCCCGTTTGACAAGGAACTTTTTGTCAACTTTCACTCCTTCTGATGATGTCTTGCTTTGTTTCAATTCAAATCACCTTTCTGTTTATTTAGAAACCATGATTTTCACAACACTTGAATAAATGTAAATACCCTGCACTGAGGTGATGTACGTAATAAACAAGGGAGCAAGCCGAACCTCAACGGGAGCTCTGTACTTCAGATATACTAATATATTTTAATAATACTAATATATTATAAAAATAGCAGATTGTCATTGGCAACGGCAAAAGAGTGGAAACATCATTCGCACTTGTTCACGGAAAGACCGTTTGTCGCCTCATGTAACTGCCGAATGGAAAGTCCGTTGTTTGAAGCCAGTCTGTTGCTCGAGTCACGTAACGGCCAAACAGAAAATCCGTTATTCGCAGCATACGTTATACGAGGCACCACTGTATATATATATACATACATACATGACTAAAATACCAAGTAACATGTCTTTCAGACTATATCGTTGCTATCACAGTCAATAGCCACATGATAATAGTACGGTTTGAGTTCTTGCCATCCCACATTAACTATTTGTCAACCTATAACTCATTATCTGCCTGTAAATATGACCAAAAATAGTTGTAAGTTTCCATTTTGTAACTCATCCTGTAGTCTAATTCCCTATCTTTCTTCTAACAGCCCATATCTGAATTCCAAGAACTAAATCGCCTACTGGCTTTTAATCCCTCCTTCTCTCTAATCTGTTTCTAACCTTTTCTGGCTCAATTTTAATTGCTCTTTATCACTTGCCGTGACTGACGCTCCACATATAGTTGTCGCTTACACCTTGGGGCAAACCTCCACACCCTCCTAAAATTATATGACATCAAGTACTCCACAGTCAAGTGGGCTACTCGAGCTGGCATAGTTATCAGAGATAAATAGTTAAATGTGATAGTCTTAATGGAGCATGCAATGCAACTCGCAATTACATGCAGCTAATTTCGAGAGGCTATATTTCAGGAAGGGTCACATTTATAGGTATGGTTTGACTTTTTTGCTCCTATAGACATGCTCTATAGCTCTGTTAAGGTTCCAACAGCATCATTCACATCTGCGATCTTACCAACTACTACACATAACAGTAACTTCCACCATCTCTGTACATTAAAGATAACTAGTGTTGCCACCTTCTGAAAAATCACTGACCTGGACAGCATGTCAGGTTTGTTCGAACAGAAGTTCCTAATGCATGTGCAATGTCATTTTACAATGCGAAGAATAATGTGCATGCCAGTTCTAAATCAGTTACAGTTAGGGACTAGGGACTTGCGTAGGAGTAACGTAAATAACCTAAATGAAGAAAGAATGGGTACAGATAACTTAGCTCTATTTGAGATATGTATGATCATACAAGGAAAAGAAAAAAGGTCAACAGGGGTTGCGTGCCACATGTCGGCATAAACAGACTAAAATGGCAGAATTGCAGATGAGTTACAGTAAGTGTTAGTTCTTTCTCTGTTAAAATAGTGTAAATTTATAAAAATATTTGCAAGAACTTTATTTCATCATAATTTCACATTTCTACTTAATTCCCGGACAAAATTAATGAACTATTCACCCGGACAGTGAGTCAATTCCCGGACTGTCCGGGTGAAAACCGGACGGGTGGTAACACTAAAGAGAACTTACTCTCCGAATCTGGCAGGTCTATTGCAAACACAATAAAATTTCCATCCAAAATCGATGTAGAGGTCATCTTTAACTGTGTGGAATATCTTTCCAACGACAATTTTTCCTTCCGGGTCACCCAACTGCATTAATTTACAACGTCTTAATAAGGATTTAAAAGTTTCTTTTGATTCTTCTTTTTCATCGTTAATATTCTGGAAACGATCGTAAGCTTTAGCAAAACCACCTTTTTTATTTCCTTCCTCGTCACATCTCGTCTGATTCCTTTCATTTATAATATCCGTTGTCATTAATCTAAGTTTATTTGATTCAAAATATACTGATAGACCATTTCTAAACAACTTTCTATATATTGCCGCCATATTTACTATCACTCCATCTATCGACGTTTAAACAATTTTCTTTATATCTAAATATTTTTCGTTTTAAAAAATAATAAACTTCAACTATTTTAATTTTCTAATAAATAAAAATATAATGTTCAATAATTTAATTAAAACTTGTTTTTTCGATTTATTTATTTTATTTATTTATTTTTTATTTTATTTTATTTTTTTGCATATTGGTGTAGCTCTAGAATCCTCGCGTTAAAGTTCATAGAAAGGATTCCAAATTAAACTATTTTTAATTTTACTTAACGGATATAATTGGCAATTCGCATTTTTCATCAGATGCTCGCCCTCTGGTGTTTAAAAACAAAACTATTCTATCTGGGTCGTTTGATTCATTCTTGTGTATTATCAGCAGTAAAGATGAAAACCGATAGAAAAAGCAACGCTTACTGTTGGTTCCAAATTGCAATTTCAAAGCCTTACGAGAGCCTGATATAAGTTTTCGTCTATTCCCACACGAAAAACGGGAAAAACAGATGATTATTCGGAAATTGATCGGTTATATTTATGAGCTCTGAATTCTGAAAGAGTGGATTAACATGTCTGAATGTCTGACAACAGGGAAATTAACATGACTGTTAAGAATTGGCAGTTTCCCGATTGTCCAGCTTTCACGAACAAGTTATGCTGTCAATTTTAAAACATTTTGTTAAAGTTTAAAATGCCGGTAATTTTGTATAGGACACGGGGTCGGATTTAAGCATTTCGAAGCCCTAAACTGAACTGTGTAAGGCCCAGTGGTGATATTCAGCGGGTTCGCACAGGTTCGGCCGAACCCGTTGTTAACATTTTCAAAGTTTTCCGAACCCGTTGTTAAACACACGTAACATTTCTCAGTGATTTTGTTTCTTTTAAAAAATATATTAAAATACAGTATACGTATTATACTCTGTAATACCACTAAACTAGAGCCTTATACCCCGTTCGCACACAATACACGACTCACTTCAATCTCGATTTACCCACAATCTGGATTGTGACTGTCGCCAGTGGAACGTCGTGCTGTTCGCACAGGTAACTCGCTTGAGAAGAACCCGGCTATTACACGCGATGATAAAATTGATATAACTATGTGGTACGTCACGAACACCAACAAACAAAATGGAAGTTTTGGTTAGAAATAAATACTTTTTCTTGCCGTATATCTAATAATAGACAGATGTCATCCTCTCCAAATGTCTTTTTTATTTTTCTGTCAATAGCCGGACGTGTTCAGCAGCCATCTTGTATTTCCTCGCGCGCGTGGGATTGTGGGATCTCTCTTATGACTGAATCTAGTTTCGAGAACTCTCTCCAGTCGATCGCGATTTAGCCTCGTTTCAGTCGAGATTGAAACGGTCGAGAGCGTTCGCACCACGGAACTCTCTCTCCGACCTTAGTCACAATCTAGATCGAAATGCTCGGTGCGAACGGGGTATTATACCCTGTTCGCCTAGTGTAACCACCATCGACCGTTTTAATCTCGACTAAAACGAGGTTCACTCGCGATCGACTCGAGAGAGTTCTCGAAACTAGATCCAGTCATAAGAGAGATCCCACAATCCCACGCGCGCGAGAAAATACAAGATGGCTGCGGAGCATGTGTCGGGCTATCAACAGCGAAATAAAAAAGATATTGTATTTTGAGAGACGATGACATCTGTCTATTATTATAATAATACCTAATGATAAAATAAATGATTTAGAAAAGTTTTTTCTTGAGAAAAAGTCATAAGGAAAGCAGTTAAACCTGCTTTTCCTATGACTTTTTCTGATTAAAAAAATGCCAATTTTTATGTTTATAAAATATTATGAATGAAAAATATTAAAATATGTACAAAATAACCATTTTGAACACACTTTTTTATTATTTATCAAAAAAAATATAGTTCTGGCATAAACAATGTTAAATTTTAACTGACTTAATTTTGCGAACGCATCTTTTTTATTTATATGGATATCTTAAGGTCAGTTTTTGCGCTAATGTTGCTAATGCACCATTTGAGTGAAAAAAAATTGTTAAGGAAAAATTTTCTGTTAGCGAACCCTTTGTTAAATATTTCGAATATCACCACTGGCTA